AACTCTAGAAAATCCTCTAAATATGCACGGAAGTATATATAATTTTTTCCCGTAATTTCTACAATAAAAGAAAAGCTAATTTTATTTCCTTAACTTAAATAAAGTATCGTTCTAATTAAGACAACAAGATTAGCATATTTTCTTTTTTTGTATATAAATTAGGAGAATAATTTTATAAGCTTTTTTTTATATTTTCAGTATTAAATGAAACTATTGCAATATTTTTAATAAATATAAAACTTTGAATAAAAAAGATCTAAAATATTTAATTTAGGGAAAATTTTTTGATATTAAATAGGTTCAGTTTTTTTTATATACATTGAAAAAAAATTTATTTAATCTTAATAACCGGTTACTTGACTATTAACAAATAAATGTTTAGTTGAACCAAATAATTTTTGTTTTAATTAAATAACCTGTATTTGGACCAATAATTTTTGTATTCGAAACAAATATCATGTAATTGCAGACTTAAATAATAATTATTTAATACAAATAAATACTTACTTATCAAGTAAGTTACTTTAATTAAGTAACCGATTATTTGAACCAAATAAATTTTTTTTCTGTAATATTTTTTAAAAAAAGAATGTTCAGACATTTCTCGTAAATTAAAAAAAATAATTAAATAGAAAATTTTGCAGTTTTAATCAAAAAACATAAAATACACGTTTTAATACATATAGCCATAGTGGTGATTTTAGTTGAAAATTGTATATTTGTAAATATGAATTATATCTTTTTAATTACGACCTCGCGCAATCACGTAATTTGCAAAATCGTATTATAACGAGGTTTTATTATATCATCCGTCAGTACTTTATAAGTGGGCTTTAAATGAATTATTTTTTATAATTCGACTAACAAGCATTTTAACGAAAATTAAACATAATTTTTTTCTCTTTATATTTGCACATGAAGTGGAAACCCAGTAATTTTAACAGTTTATCTGCACGAACGATGACGCGACGCGCGGCAACTTATTGGAAAAATCTAATTGGAACAATCGAGAAATTGAGGTGAAAAAAATACTATGACGAATAGGAATTTTCTTTTTTAACACTTATTGGAATTTGCATTTGATGACTCGACACTTTATCTGAACTGAAATATACCTATACTATTGCCAAACCATTTGAATAACGGAGGGACGGACAGACGAACGAAATAGTCCCTCTAAAATTATTTAGCAAAGATATGTAGTACAATTAATTTATTTAACTATTCTAGAGGTTTACAAGATACTATTAAATAATTGAGGATTGGATAGAATCCTCAGACTGATACTCGCACCTGAGCCTACAGGTACCACGGGGATCGGGTGCCTATCGGAAAAAAGAGGTTTGGTAAATATAAGTAAAATGAGTTCGGTTGACTGTAGAGCAGTTGTTGAAACCAAATGAATAGTTGTCTTAACCTAAGTGGTTATAACAAACAAACACTTTCCAACAAAACGATTTATGTCATCCCCACTACTTTAAAAGTGGGACTTAGAAAATTTTTATGGTACTCCTTAACTTGAAATCGGACCGTCACCATCTGGAAGCAATTTAGACTTTATCCTTAGCACGCCGGGGATCGCCTGACCGGCCGATGTTTGATTTTTAAGACATTTTTTTTGCAAGGGTTTCATAAATCAATGCTTTTCTTCAAACATTGAAAAATTCGAAATGCGACGTTGCCAAATACTTTTTTTCAATGTTGTCAAATCTAAAAGTTTTCATTTTGCCTTTTAGGTATGAAAACGCTTCAGTTTGCAAGGATTTACTCCTGGAGTAACGGTAAATTTTTTTAATTCGTTCGTCAATACAAAAAAGCTTGTATTTTTTGTGAATTGATTAATTAATTTAATTTTAATTAATTCATTTCTTTATTTTAAAGACTAATTGTTTAAAATATTAGTGAGAAGTGATAAAGTGAAAAAATTAATTACTTTCGACTTCTTAGTGAATACAAATATGTAGAAAATTCAGAGGTGAACAGTTTAGTTTTACTATGCCTGATTTTTTTCTAAATCATGTATATGTGTTAGTGTAAAATGCATTACATTCAAAAGTATTTAATGTAGAGAAGAAATGTGCGTTATTGGAGACTTGTGTGAAGAGTGTATTGTTCCTTCTTTTAAAGTTATTAAAAAAAAATTTGATAGTTGATTCTAATTCTAATTCTAATGATAGTAATGTCAACCGAATAGATCGGTTGTTACAACCAACTTTTTTGTTATCTCAACTAAATTAAGGACAACCTAACTCGTTTGGTCATCACAATTGGTGAGTTCGGTCAGGTCAATAAACGAAAAGTTCAGTTGGGAAAACCGAACTTTTTAGTTAGCTATACCAAACCATTTTTTGAGTACCGATAAGATTTGTATTTGCTCTGGCAAAATACTTGTCGTTGGCCGGTCATCTGGTGTTTAACTCGTGGGGGCAGTTGGAGAAAGAAAGCTCGCATCGCTTAGAGCGAGATAATGGAGAGGAAGCTGTTTCAAAAGTGATAAGATTTCTTCAAAATTGTCGACGTGTGAGTTGCAGCATAACTCGGACAGAAATCTGCATAGTTCTTAGGGATTCGATCGGAAAACGACTACTTTATTTTACAAAGTGAGAGTCAGGTAGAACGATGACTATGTTGAACGTATGTTTGAACGACGATATACAGTAAGAGTTACGAATCAATTTGCGAAAGAGATAAGTTGAACGAGGTTTATTGTCCATAGGAGTCATACCGTTGTTAAGCCGATAGGCCAGAAACAACAGACCCCATCTAATTTCTTTTACGATAACGATGTTTCAGATTAACGCAATTCCCGCTGTCTATGATAGCGTAAGTCTCCGTAACCAGTTAAAAGGCTTGTTACAGTTTTCGCCTCTTTGAGTCTGCGAAATTCCGTTGCTCTATTTAGGTCTATATTATTTCCAATGAGTGCGCCTTGGCTTGTCTATAACCTGTAGTTGCCTGACACTCTTTCTGATGCTCTGTATCTCTCCATCGCCTAAATTCCGGGACTAGACATTTGTCAGAGAGATACCAATAGATCCGATAAATTGTTCCCTAGCTCCTATTTTGGCTAGTTTATCAGCTACGTTGTTACCTTTAATTCAGCTGTGTCCTGGGACCCAAAGAAGGGTAACACGGTTATTTACAGCTAGTCTGTTAAGTGCCGTATATAGCATCCTTCAAACCAACGTTACATAACGTTTCAAAAAGCATAACTATCTACCTTGCTGTCAGAAATAATATAGATATTTTTATGTCCGCAAGATTACAAGGAATCATAGAATGTGAATATTATTTCGGATTGTAGAACAGTAGTGGTAGACCCCAGACAATACGAATGCCTTTCCTGGTAAAAATCCCTGACTGTTTCTGGATTAATCTGGAATTATTCCGAAACAGTTTGATTGATATGGCCAGGTTTTTTGTCAACCGGAATTAGTCTGGCTAAATCAAAAATTTGATCAATTTGTGTAGTTAGTGAATCCGGAATTAATCCAGGTCTAATCCGAAGTCAGTTAGATTAAACGTAACCTATTGAATGCAGATTCTAGATTTACTGATTACACAGGCCGGATTAATTTCGGATTCAAAGAAGTAATTTTGCATTTATTATTTGTGTATTATCCGACTCATTTCGGATTAAACCGGGTTAATTCCGGATTTACTAGTCACATAAATAATATACCAATTTTGGAATTAACCGGACTAATTTAGGGTAATAGAAACCCAACTCTAAAGCGGACTGTTTTGAATTAATTCAATATTCCGAAATATTAACAAAAGTAGTGACTATTGATCAGAAGGTAACATGTCTTTTACGCCGACAGTGAACAGTTCTTAAAGAACTTGAAACTTATCTCAACTGTGAGAGAACTGCACCTGGCGGCATGAGTGGGAACTGTAATAAAAGCAACAGAACCTATAACTAAATCTAGATTGTTGCAGATAGTTTTTATAAAAATTCTGAATTATTCTATAATAATTTGGATTGTTTTTTCATTTAACTAAAATCAAATTGTTCCGGGCTAATTGTAGATTTATTTCATGTAAATTTTGAACTAACCCTGACTGATCTGTCTGTATATAATCTGAAATTAGTCTGAAATTTTAAACAGGGAATGTACCTACCATTGTTATATATATATATATTTGAATTTTTTCTTTCTTTATCTCTATTTTTGTTGCATTGTACTCGCCGAAAATAAAAAAATTTTATTATACACTTTATAAGTAACGACTGTTTAGTCCAAATATCAGAAATGTCACTTGTCAAAATATATTTTTAGTTTACGTTTAATATCGAGGATATCAAGTGTCGGAAATGCTTAAATTATAGCCAATAAAAAAACTTTATATCATGCGAAGTTTTTTTTTAAATGCGACATTTTTAAAGTTGTCGGAACTCGCAAGAACAGCACAAAAGTTTATTATTATAAAACTCAAGAGTGGTTTATGTATTTATGTTTAGGTTTTGTAACTTTTTTCCTCTTCCCACACACAAACACACACCTAGTAAAATCTATAATTTAAAAAAGCTGTCGTGCCCATCTTGAAAAGATAACCATAAAAACAGTTATGGATTTTATTTTATACCTTTTTTTCATAATCAAAGTTTATGGAGAATATTTTGTTTCAGAAGATAAGAAGGGAAGATTATTTTTCGATAAACTGAGACAGTGGAAGGAAATTAACAATAACTTCAATCCAAATGTTAAAGGTACTTTAAATTTTCTTGTGAATTTCGTTTTTACGTTTAATCACTAATTTAATGTCAAAAAGAAAAAATCGATTTTACTTTGGAACAACAGTTCTTTTTTATAGATAAATTGTGCACAGTGCAGTTCAAAATTTTTTTGTAAATTTTGTTTCTAATTTTTAAATTTCTAATACTGATATAATGATAATAATTTTGCAGAGTTATTTAAATTTTAAATCTATCATATATATATATATATTATAAAATCTTCTGTATTATTATTATTAAATAAAATGATAAAACTTACATAAGGTGGCGTGCAATAAATAGCTTGACACCACATGGGTTCTGAGTGGTAACAGACACACAGACTGCAAACTGCAGGTCCTGGGACGTACAATAATCCATGTTTCACCGTTCCTCCTTGAAAGTCTGTACAATTTTCTTCTAGGGCCTCTAAAATAGAAAAATAAATTTTCAAATTTTATAAATTATTTTTTATTCTACAAAATAACTGTACAACAAGCTGTAGAATCATCTTTGTAGAAAAAAAAATATACGGCAGGCAATATTGATTCCATATTATGCAATATTTACTCAATATTATGCGGCAGGGGAAAGTCGTGAGAGCAGTGATAAATAGTCACATGGTTTAAAAAGAAAAACCATCTTTTGTATTCAATTAAAAATTGATGCAAATTTGTTTTAAATTTTCTAACTTTATTCAACCAAACAATTTTTTATTTTAGCTTTTAATGCACAGTTTAAATCCTCAAAGTAAGGAATATTTTAGGATACGATAAGGTTTTAGAAGTATCCAAGGCCTTTAAGAAATCAGGATATTTTTAGGAGAAGTCTCCGGATACCCCCAAAAAGGTCCATAGGATATCTTTGATATCTGGATGGTGTTATAAAAATAATTAAAGTAATTATGAAAGTTGTTTTTCATACTAAGAGATACAAGTATTCGACTAGTATAATCTGTTGTTGAAAAAATTTGGACACCAGAGAACAAGTGTTTGCTCACCTGTAACCAGATTAAGTCTCTTGTATAATTAGCAATTGTGCACCTTGTGTCAACAATCAACTTGAGTGAGCATCAACAACGAGAGAGTTGGCGCCGTTCTGTCTGCCGCGTAATTGCTTTTTAACGGACCTATATACATATATCTACATCCCGTCTATAGAAGATCTACAAATTAGATAACGTACTACGCAAAGTTTCACTAAAGATTTTGATATCATCGCTTCATCTAAATGAAAGATTCAATTCTTAGATAGTCATAAATTTTGTAACTTATATAACTAGTTTTAGGATCACTTTAAGAGAATTCATTGATTTTTAAAATTTATTATTATTATATTAATTGATGCAATTTATTATTTCATTAAAACAATCGTTATCTACACTTTCAATTATTTTATTCACGAGACCAGATTATTTTACAAAAAAAATAACCAAAAGAAAACAGTTAATTAAGCCAAAAAGTAAATTAGTATATTTTTACCAATAACTATAGCTCAAGAACCTGTTACCTTACAGCAATAATAGACAGAGGGAAGATAAGGAAAAACACTATTCATTGCACAAAATTTACAACAATTACGTTATTCATTAATAATCACTTCAGTATTTGATTCCGATTATTAATCTATATTACTTACTTTATTTGGCAAAATATCGAGTGATTAAATTGTGGCTGAAGGACGAAAATACAAAATTCATTTAATTAATTTTACAAAGAACCCCTGACAAAATATATCACTCAAAAAATGATTTGGTATAGCTAACTAAAAGTTCGGTTTTCCCAACTGAACTTTTCGTTTATTGACCTGACCGAACTCAGTAGTTGTGATGACCAAACGAGTTAGGTTGTCCTTAATTTAGTTGAAATAACAAAAAAGTTGGTTGTAACAACCGATCTATTCGGTTGACATTATGATAAAAATTTAGTTATTGCAACCGAACTTTCATGTTATTTCAACCGAACTTTTTGGTTACAACAACCAACATTTCTGTTGTTTCAACTAAACTTTTTCCTTATTTTAACCAACTCTTCGGTTGTTTGAATCAAACTTTTCGATTAAAGCAATCAAACTGTTCAGTTATAAACCAATAAAAAATAAGGATGTTTTCTTTGAAGGAGAGTGGTGTAATTAAAAATAAAAACACTACATTTCCATACTATTATTTTTATTTTCCATTTTTAAAAAAGTAGCTACTTACAATATACATCTTAGACTTACAAATTTTTTACTATTCTTAAGAATGTTATTAATAATAACTGGCATTTTATAGGCTTCAAAATTTTTGTCAAAGCCGAGATTTCCCAACTTTTTGCAAATTAGACATACTTTTCTACATTAGAATCAACTATCAAATTTTTTTTAATAACTTTAAAAGAAGGAACAATACACTATTCACACAAGTCTCCAATAACGCACATTTCTTCTCTACATTAAATACATTTGAATGTAATGCATTTTACACTAACACATACACATGATTTAGAAAAAAATCAGGCATAGTAAAACTAAACTGTTCACCTCTGAATTTTCTACATATTTGTATTCACTAAGAAGTCGAACGTAATTAATTTTTCCACTTTATCACTTCTCACTAATATTTTAAACAATTAGTCTTTAAAATAAAGAAATGAATTAATTAAAATTAAATTAATTAATCAATTCACAAAAAATACAAGCTTTTTTGTATTGACGAACGAATTAAAAAAATTTACCGTTACTCCAGGAGTAAATCCTTGCAACTGAAGCGTTTTCATGCCTAAAAGGCAGAATGAAAACTTTTAGATTTGACAACATTGAAAAAAAGTATTTGGCAACGTCGCATTTCGAATTTTTCAATGTTTGAAGAAAAGCATTGATTTATAAAACCCTTGCAAAAAAAATGTCTTAAAAATCGAACATCAGCCGGTCAGGCGATCCCCGGCGTGCTAAGGATAAAGTCTAAATTGCTTCCAGATGGTGACGGTCCGATTTCAAGTTAAGGAGTACCATAAAAATTTTCTAAGTCCCACTTTTAAGGTAGTGGGGATGACATAAATCGTTTTGTTGGAAAGTGTTTGTTTGTTATAACCGAACTGAAACAACCATTCGAGTTTAGTTCTAACAACCGAACCACTTAGGTTAAAACAACTATTCATTTGGTTTCAACAACTGCTCTACAGTCAACCGAACTCAGTTTACTTATATTTACCAAACCTCTTTTTTCCGTGTACAGAAATTGGTTCTCGGTCAAATTGGCTAATACTCGGATATATTGTAGTTAATGTCATTCTGAACAAATGTTTCCTCTATCAAAATTTTAAAAAATGATAACTTTTAATGTTATCCTTCATAAAAGGTACAATATGAATGAAAATAACAGATATAAGAAGTTCTAAATGTTAATATGGATATATATATAGATGGATTTACAATTTTTATAATAAAGAAATCGACTGAGAAGGAAACGACCCATAATTAATTTATTGGGACTCATCGTCCAATTGACGACAACGACAACTCTTCTTTTACACGTTACATTTTAATTATTTTACAAAAAATAGAACAACTGACTACACTCTACGAGCATGAGGATTAAATGGCAAACGAGTCATGCTCGCAAAGGCGTCGCTGATCAACGGCCTCTCTTCTCGGTGATATTCAGATTAATTAATATTCAATTTAATATAATTGATCGATAACCGATAAGCAGCCGTCGGTAATGTAGATCCCAGAACTATCTGATGTTGAATTGGTTAAAATTCCACAGGAAAATGGCTGACAGAAGTAATTTGTCAGATCGGTATAACAAAACAGCGAATTCGTCTTCCTGGTGCTCTTGAACTTTTGGGACTCACATCCGAATATATACAGCAGAAAGGTCTTTCCTTGATGATTTTAAAACTTCCAAAACTCATTGCGATATCCAGAACGTCGTTCCGTATAAGTGACAATCCTCAATGCTTCGCGAAAATTTTACATAACGAAATAAAAAGACTAAATACCGATATTTATTTTATATGATTGACTATTAATCCATACGACTTTGGCAAATTGGTTTTATTATTTTACATTTTATTATTCAAAGTTTCGTTATTTATTATTTAATAAACAACTATTTACAGGGCAAAGTAATTCTTTAACCAAAGAAGACAACCATTCCAATATATTTAAAATTAAAGATAAACCGAGATTATTTTCTTTTTTTTGCGATTTCAGGCGTTCCTCAGGGATCGCATCTTGGACCACTTTTTTTTTGTTTTATAAATTAATTATATAAAATCTGTTTTCATCCACTTTTTTTTCCTTATGTACGCTGATGATATTAAGTGTTATATAGGATTACCAGGACTGTTCAGATTTGCAAGAGGAATTCGATCGTCTGTCTGATTGCGCGGTGTGACACAATTGGTGATGAGGAAAATCAATCAGGAAAATCAAATACGTGATTTGGCTTTGCTTTCTTGTAATGATTTTTCTTTTAATGAGCACATATCAGAAGTGATCTCTAGGGATTTAAGATCTTTAGGGTTAGTAATGAGATGTTCATCATTTTTTCCTAATTCCGGAACATTAAATTTGCAAGGCAAATATATGAGTAGAACAAAACTAGGCGAAGATAATAACAATCTAATAATGTAATACGTAGTCTCGTAACTTGTAGTAATAAACATATTTAAAGAGATGCCATAAAAATCCAGAATTGTATGAAACTGATTTGCCTCTATGATAATTCTAGATATAACAGAATTTTGGCTATAATTTGTAATATGGAGAGTTTGCTTCAATAATATAGGATATCTAATCGGTTCAAAAGGAACAAAAAAAATTCATTCAGGACAAAAGAGCAGGGCAATTAATAATACCGTTTATAATTTTAAAAAGAAAAAGTAAATTTCATTAAATTCAATTATAACTTATAATTGTAATAAATATAATTATAACTCAAACACGTTGCTCCCACTATTTTCACGCAATTCTTTACCATTTTGGGATTGATTAAGAAAAATCAACAAAATCCTATACGGCTGCATCTGAATATGATTTTATTTCAAAATTATTTGTCAGGAAATTGCCGTCGGAAAAAATTCTAATTTTTTTGATATTTTATTTTTTTATTTTCTGATTTAATACTTCACAGAAAATTAAAAGGCATTAAAATAAGCTGCAACGCTTATTATATTTTAATGCGTTTTAATTTTCTGTGTTTTTGTTTAAAATAATTAATGGCATAAACTGTCGACAAATTTATCTTTTCTAAATTCTGTAGCTCCTATTAAACCTATCAGGAATCCGATTTTATTCAGGCGCAGTCATTTCAAAGAACTAATTGTGGAGAAAACTCTATTATGGTTAGATTAACAAGAGAAGCCAATGAGTACCACAATGACATTGATTTCTACGGCGTTTCTCTAAGTACTTCTATAAGTGATTTAATGAAATCTTTGGTGTAAAAGAATTTTTAAAAATTCGATCAAAAGAACATTCGAACCATTTGAATATTCAATTAACTAAGCATTCGAACTTTAGGTTATCGGATATTTAAATTAAATCAATATTCAAATGTAGCAAATAAGTATATACATAACACTGAATTTTACCTGTTTTTGTGAGAAGCAGAAGGATGGTTGTTAAACAGATTGTTCCAGTTGTTGTGGTTCTCGGAATATCTGGAAATGTTCTCATGGTCGCGTTTTATATCCAATATCCGAGATTTTGTTATGTCGGATTTTCGATATCACCCCAGAGGAATTCTATATAAAAGGCACACCAGACTTTATTTTTCCAGCAATCTTCTCGCACGTACTGGCGGTAGGAATATGTTCCCTACATTAAAACAAGCAAAATGGATTTCATATATATAAGTCAACACCATCTATCAATATACAAATAAATCTCCTGGAACAAATTTCTAAAAGTCATTATATTTCAATAAATAACACTCACAATTTTAATAACCCTGTGTTACATTTTCTATATGTATATATTCGCAAAAAAGAAAAAACATATATGACAAAATTCTTGTGGCAAATTGACTCGATTGTAAATTTACCTCATTTATCAATGCGCGCACCATGTGCAAATGATGAATGTTCCAAAATAAAGTGTTGGACTATTTTAATGAAACATTTTAGTTTAATATTAAAGTGACAAAACTACATTATTTCAAAAAAGAATTTAAAGATTTATTAATATATAAAATACAAAAATTTTGAAAAAAAATTCTAACAGTTCAATCATCAGTTGGACTGAACGAAGAAAAATGGGATTGTTGTGCAAACAATTTTTTGGATTGTTGTCAGTAGATTTGTTGATATTACACAGGCCAACAAATATAGCAAACTTTTTTGGTGCGGCTTCTGATAGTTTTTTCATGCCGAACACGAATCCGTAAACGAAAATTTCCTATCAGCTCTAGTTTTTGAGAAAAATGGGTTTAAAATATTAAAAAATCGCGTTTTTAGCTAACTTTGAGTACCTCTAACAATGAAACAAAAGGTCGTAGAACCTTCCACTTGGGCTTAATTTAAAGCTTAATGTTTTAACTATAATCCTTAAAAATGACCTATCTTGCACCATAACCTCAAAGTCATTTGCTATCCATTTTTGATTCCGAAATATTAATTTTGTAAAAGTTTGAGCGCGTACATTTAGTCCTTGAGGTTAAGGTGCAGCAATGTTATTTTTATGAACTAAAGTCAAAGGATAAATTGAATTGAAGCTCAACAAGAAGGTTCACTTACCTTTGGTTTTATTGACTAGAGTTAATCAAATATTACCAAATAAGTTCTGTAGTTAAATACTGGTTACCAACAATTTTGAGGTTATTAGTAAATAATATAATTTTTAGGGCTTGTAGTCTAAAGTTCAAACTTTATTTTAAGTTCAAATAAAAGGTTCTATGATCCTTTTTTCTTTGCTAGAGGAACGCGCTCAAACTTTTACAAAATTAATATTTGCGAATCAAAATGATAACAAATGACTTTGAGATTATGGTGCAACATAGGTCATTTTTGGGGATAATAGTTGAAACATTAAGCCTCAATTTAAGCCCAAGTGGAAGGTTCTACGACCTTTTATTTCAGTGCTAGAGGTACTCAAAGTTAGCCAAAAACGCGATTTTTGAACAATTAAAACCCGTTTTTCTCAAAAACTAGAGCTGATAGGAAATTTTTGTTTACGGATTCGTGTTCGGCATGAAAAAACATATCAAAAACAGATCTGACATTTGCCGCACCAAAATCAGTATTGGCCTGTGTTATAATTCGAAATGTTAATATTATAATTCGGATTGTTGTCAATACAAATGTATGTTGTTTTAACAACAATATGAATTTTTTGTTATCAGTTTTGTTCAGTTTGCAATTCTGTACAATTGCAGAAGCAAACTCTCTGTCGATTGCTGATGGAACAATCCGGATTTGTTCAGCTGACAGGTTTATTGTTCCATATCACGTGGTCATCTTGAATTCTCGCAAACTGGTGTGCAGATCGTCACGTCGTTTGCTTCTGGCACATGTGCCACTTTTGCTTTTATTATTAGTTTTAAAAAAAAATGACAAAGTGCTATGAAATAATAAATCCGGTTAAAGTGAGAAATCTATTGCAAGTGTAGTAAATGGATGAAGAGACAATTTCATTGTTTATCGGTAAGTTATACTCGGTTACTATTGAACATAACCTGACCTTAAATAATACAAAATGTATATTAAATATTATTTAACAACAAATTTCAACTCAAAATAATTTTTTAGTTTCAGTTCAAAGAATTTGATTCAGAAGCTGCATGTTCCACAGATTTTAATGCAAATGAAACTGGTAATATGACCTACGGAAATCTGCTATCGATTATTTTAGAAGGCGAAGAAACTGAACAAATTGTATTAGACGGATAAAAGCTTTGTTAATACAACAAATTATATTGTCGATTTCAACAATTTAGTTTTGTTATTTTAACTGTTCCATAACAATTTTTATTGTTCATCAAAAAATTCTGTTTTTTCACCGAACAATCCGAATAGTTTTAATAACAATCCCATTTTAACAATTTTTTTTGTCCTAAAAACAAATAGAATTGCTGGTTCTATATTGACAATCCATAATTGTTGTGTGGACTTGATTTTTAGTTTTTTTTTTTTTTTTAAGAATTTAAAACATCGACATAAACAGACTTTTACTACGGTAATAAAAAATAAATATTTTCCGAAAAATTTTTACTACCAGAACCGATTTTTTCTACAGATACTAAAATTGCAGAAATTTGAGAGAAAGTATTTTTATGACCAAAATTCAATTTTACTGCTGTATTATCAATGTTGTAGGGATTATAGGAAAAAGGCTTTGTCGGCCTAAAGCTGACTTTTGCTATTTATAAAAAAAAATGCTATTAAATCAACATTTCTGACAAAAACATGAAAATTATTTATTCAAAAGCATATGCAAATATATTTCACAAATTTTATATATCACATATGCTTTTGAATCAATAATAATTTACATACTTTTTTTGGCAAAAATGTTATTGCATATATTTTTCTCAATTGTTTTAGTCAAATTTTATGATTTCAAAAAAATTTCTATCTGAAACTAACTTTTGCTATACTCTGATGCATTTTAATTTGATTTTTATTTCAATCGTTTTCGAGCTCGTTTTCGAGTATATGAAATTATGAATTGATAATAAAATTGTGAGTAAAAAGCGCAACTAAAGCTATTGAATTGGAGTGTTTATTAATTAAAGCGCGGTATTGTAAATTAATTAAAAATGAAGCAATTGATCAATAATTAATCGCAATAAATGCAAAATAATCTTTTATCTTTTTATGTTTTTGTTTTAATTAGTTATCGATTTTATTTAAACAAGAAAATTATATATTATATACTTATTATTTAATATACACAAATGTTTTATTTACTACATAGTTGATATAAAAGCAAACGAGGTCGAGTTACAGTTTCAAACATTTATTCTAACTTCTTGAGAAAAAAAAATTACACAAATATTTCATCTCATTAAGACTTTAATCTCATTTAAAGAAAAGTTTTTTTTCGTATTTTTGCGGTTATTTAATTATTTTTCTTTTTTTAAGAAGAAAATTCTGTTAGTAGTGTTAATTAAATTAAAATATGTCATTAATTTGATAAATTTTTTATTTAAATTATATATTAAAATGATAAAAATTCATGTAAATTTGATTTTGTAAAATTTTTTTATAATCAATAAAAGTAAGAGAATGTGAAAACAAAATTTTTTCTTGAAAACCATTATATCTCGCGTTTTTACCTTAGGAAAAAAAATCAATGTATTATGCAGCTTTCTATATAGCTTTATAAGTGGCAATGAATAAATACAGATTTTCCGATAAGGAGAAACACAGTAAATAACAGATAAGGGAAAAAAATATAAATGAATTATAAGAGAAAATAAATTTTAGTCTTAAATTAAATTTCACGTACTTATATATTTAATATATTAGAAGAGTAAAACGATTTTCAATAATTATTATTGACTTTTCACAAATCATTGTAACAAACATTTAGATAAAAAATTTTTTTTTTTAGGAATTTTAATTTATTTTCCAAATGTAAAGGTATTTTATTTTATTGCAGTTATTTAAAAATAATTTTGCACATTTGATTTTGGGAAAAAATGTAAAAGTAATGTTCTGATGAATTGACGCTTAAATTTGACTAATTATTAGTAACTTTTACTAACAATTAGTAAAATTTAACTAATTTTAAAGCAAAAAGTGAGTCACTAATTCAAATTAGTAAACATTTTTACTAATTCATATTTAGAGAGTAGATATTTGAATATAGAATAACTGCAAATTTTGTTATTTCAAGTTTTAAAAAAACACGTTAATTAAATAAAGGGATTTATGATTTAAAAAAACAAAATGCTTCCTTATTTTATATCATATAGAGTAAAGAAACCTTTTTTTTACTATTGTGTAACTTTCATTCGACTTTAATAACATAAACTATAATTAAGACACATTTTTCAACAAAAAAAAAAATAAACAGAATTTAAAATAATTTTTACAATATGGGACGCATGATTTTGTTCTAAAAATCATTAGTTAGAATTTTCATTTTAAAGAATTTCATTTGTCATAATTATTTTTGAGCCGAATTTTTATTTGTTTGAATTAGTATTTTGCTGAATTTTCATCAAAACGATTTTCTATATTACACAATATATTTATTTTTTTATATAACCGAAAATTTACTTCACAGAATTTTTATTTGCTCGAATTTTCATTTAACACAATAGGCATTTTAAAGAATTTTTATTGGATAGAATTTCATTGCATAGAATTTTCTTTTAGGTGAATTTTCATTTGTTCGAATTATTATTTGATACAATTTCCATATATAACAGATTTTTCATACTACAGAATTTTTAACTTAACCAAAAAATTATTTAACAAAATTTCTAATTGATAGAATTTTCATTTATCCGAAATTGCAAATGGACAAACAAACAATCAGCAGAAATATTTTGGTGCTATTTTTAAAATCAATCAATCAAAAAATTTGTCATGATTCGCTGATATATTACGCGTGGTAAAACCACTTTATGCAGTAAAAGTGCTTATGAGGTAAAATCTCTTCGTATGTGGTAAAACCACCTTTAAAATCTTTTTAGGTTTGTAGTGATACTACTTTTGAGGTAAGACCACTTCGGAAAGTCCTGCTGCGGTAAGACCACTTCGAGGAGTGACGATTCTTGTCGGGTGCACGACTCTTAAAGACGATCGGTTCGGTTGAACGCATGCGCGAGACTTAGGTGGGGACCGCACATACAGCGCGCGTGTCGTGTGCGAGTACTATATCAACATTCGATTCGTCGGTAACATAATTATCGACCTCCGAAAAATTCATGATATATTTACTCGACAATTTCTAAAATTTCGTTACAATACAAATAAATATTTATTTGATAATTAGTCAAGTAATAATTATTATTATCATTACTTGTATGATCAGGTGAACACTTTGGTTGGAGTTCCGGAAATTGAGCTTGCTACTTTTAGGATCAAATATTGAATCCTAGTTTTATGAAGTAAAAATTGGTACCGGTCAGATTTAACGTTCTCCTTTGGCGGACTTAAAAATTTTATTATACAGAAAGAAGTAGTATGAAAAACCTTGTTCTAGGATAACTGAAAGACTCCCAAAGGGAGCGGACATTGACAATTGTGGATGCTTGAAAGTTCAAATTAATAAAAATTAACTTGCATCATTGTAAAGACGCCTATTCAGTATTGATGACGGGTAGATCTAGAACTCACACTTGCATCTCGCTAATCCAAGAAGTATAATTAGCATAAGGTATTATTAGAGGGCTTGGAGAGATTGGCTTCATCTGTTACAGGATACCTAAATCTGTTAGACTAATAGTAAGAATCTTCACAAGGGGTATCAATATTATTCCATTGTTGGATCTACGTTCTAGATAACTGTTAGCAGAAATAACTGATTTGGAGGGAATTGAAAAGACTATCATTGGATCGACAAACTTCTTATTTGATAATAAAGACAATTCGTCAGAAAAATTTTGGAAGCTAATTCACTATGCGAAAAGAGGATTTTTTCTTTTACTGTGTTGTGATATTGAACTCACAACATGTGGTATAGATCAGTACAAAGACAGAACCCAATATAATATCTAGTGGAAACGAAGGTAGATTACGAATACGGAATCGTTTACGACTTTTAGGAATGTAATCTAAAGAAACTTTGCTTTCTGATCATATTTATATAGATAATCTTCGAGCTGGAGTCTGTAGTATCTTCAGAAAACCAAGTGAATCCGTAATTGTAGAAAAACTAACTTAAATACCAGGAAGAACTCAAAAAAAGATTGATTTTCCAGGTATGATTACAGATCGTTAAACTCAAGGTAAGGTGATCGACAATTTTTACATAAAAGCTTATAAGAATAACTAAAAATAAACAGGGTTCGTTTGGCGAAAGAAACTTACTAATATAGTATGAGAGGAAGAATACCAGGATTCTTACAGAGAAAATCTTGATCTAAACATTCCAAACCAAACTTGTTGCAGATTAATCTCGTAACAGCAAAAAGAAGCTTGGTCCGAGGAATTGCTGTTAATTCTAAATGACCTCATATAGAAGTCCTATCATTCTCTTCTTTGGTTCCTTGCAGTAGACGAACTAACAAGGCTTTTTACTATTGAGAATAGTAGATTTTCATTTTACTATGTGGATTAGCTAAATGGATGTTATTGTGAATCCATGAAGTATTTGTTTTCTAGGCTGGAGACTTATTTTTGAGAGGCATACCATATACTATTAAAGCAAAGACGATTAATGGTACCCTGGGGCTAGGTGGTTACAGAAAAGTTAGAAGCAGGGAAGAAAGGAGAATTACTTCCTAGTGATTTAGGAATAGTTTCTGATCAACCGCTTCTGTTCTACAATCCAAAATTATGGCGCTACTTTTTAGCGCTCTTTAGGTTCTAAAGCTTTACCAAGTTAGAAATATCGCTATTTTTTCAGCAAGCAATGCAGCTTCTTTGCATTGAAACGCTATATGTAACTACATAATAGTTTTCTAGAAATTGACACAAGGGTCTTAACAAAATAACTGGAAATATAAACCCCGTCAGCCTCCTCTGGGTCCACAATGGAATTAAGAATAATGATGCAGCGGATAAAGTAGCCAAAACGCGTGAGCTAGGTAACCTTAAGTCAACATTTCCTGTTTCTAGTAAATATCTGTCCTTGGAATTTAAAAAATATCTGAATAGAGTCAAAAGTTATATATAAAAAAAAAAATCTGAACTCAAAATGAGTTCAAACAGACTCAATTTGAAGTACAACAATAATGAGCCAATGATACTACATAAAATGTGGTGCCATCTTACTGACTCATTTTTGTTGCACTTCAAATTGAGACTGAATTTAACTAATTTTGAGTTCATCTTAGGAAGAAGAAGAGAAAGAAGAAGTTAGATATTAGAAGAATTAGCAAAAAAAAAACCTTTATCAGTCGAACCAAATTTGGTCCAAAAGAAGAAGATAGAAAAATGTCCAAAAAAAACCGGTTATTTTTATAATATCTTGTTTTTCATATGTAAAAAATGTTCAAGAGATTTTGAATTATAAAAAATTAAGACAATAATAATTTTTAGTACACTGAGAGAAGTTTAACGCAACATCTGCATTTTTTGAGGGACAGATATTGTACCACAATTATGTGCAGACGCAGTACTAAAATCGAACAGCAGCAGCGCCAATTGAGTACTGATTCTGACCTAACTTGTAGGACAAACGATTTAGTACAGTATCTGTCCACCAAAAAGCGCAGCTGCGATACAATTTAGAACCGATGTTGCTCGAAAGGTTAGGTACACTATCTGAACGTGTGTTTAGTACGAAATCTGTGTTTAACTTCTCTCAGTGTAGCATTTTTAGCAATTTGATATTTTTCCAGTACTTTTCATAAAATTCCCCCAGATAGTACGTAAGCTTGCTACAACCTTGAGGCAAGTTTGCCGCACAATATTGCTAACCTTGCACGGCAAACTTGCCGCAAGCTTCAAATGTCCCACCTGGCCCCAAAAGCTTGTATGGTAAGCTTACCGAAAGATTGCAGTGTAAGGGTACATTTGAAGCTTACGGCAATTTTGCTGTGTAAGATTGGCAATATTGCGCGGCAAACTTGCCGCAAGGTTGAGCTGCAAGCTTACATGCTATCTGGGCCTTGACGAAAAAAACATTGAAACCTAAAGAAAATATATTCAGAAACCAGTCTCTTTGAATCAAAGAAAATTTATATTTAATTCAAAAAAGTTCTTATATTCCTTTAAGTTAAAAAGTTTTCTTTAATTCAAAAATATTTTTTATAAAAATAAAGTTTCAAGAAAATTTTTACTAATTCAACAATAGAATATTACATAATGAATACATAAATAATTCATTTAATGTTTCAATTACAACAAAAATATAATTAAATGATAATTAAAAATTATATTATTATTATTATTATTATTAATATATTCTGTCGCATTGACAATTATTATTATATTCTAATAAATTATTTACAATTATTTGTTATTTACAAACAAAAGTGACACATTTTATTGTTAAAAAAAGAAAGATTAATTTTCATTAAATAAAAAAAAAATTTTAATACCTTTAAACAGCATCCCGCTGTCTGTCTCACATAATTTTGCACGTGATTCTTTTCAGCATTGTCACCGAGATGTTTGGTGACCAAAAAGGAAAAAAGAAGAAAACTAAAGAAACGATATTGTTCCAATAAAATTGAATCACTTTAATTTTGAAAATAATAATTTTTTTTTGTCAATTTCTCAATAATTTTAATTAATAAAAAAAAAAAATTATTTTTTTTTTTTATTTAATAAACCGGCAATGTGGTGTGGAATGCAATGTGTTTTTTTGTGATGTGGACAACATCAGAAATAAACATCTGATTCCTTGAAGGTCTACCGTGTGACTGTCGACTCTGTCGCAGTGATAGAACGGGCTAACGTTTCACGGGTCGATCGAACGTGTTTCTGCACACTCCCACCCCCTGACACCCTCCATAAACCACCCCACCCCCCTGGCGAAGCGCAACGCACCCCTTGGCCGAAATAAAAAAAAAAAAGCGCACCGCCGCATTCGCTATAGTCCTATTTTGCTACTATAATAATAATAATAATAATAATAATAAATTTTTTTTTTAATTTTATCAATAATATTATTTTTTTATTTTATTAATTTATATTAAAATTTATATCATTTTTCCACGAAATTTCCTAAATTATAATTTAGTTGTTTTATGCTAGAGAATCCAATTTCTTAATACTTACTTTAATTTGAAAAAAGTACGTAGAAGGGACCTAGTACGAGAAAAGGGACCTAGTGATAAAAACAATTTTAGGTTATGTTTGTGATTTTTAAAGTGAAAATACACAAAAAGAATCAACTCTCAATACAAAACATTTATATTTATTCACTACCCAGAAGGCACGTAAGCTTGTAGCAACCTTACGGCAAGGTTGCCGCGCAATATTGCAAACCTTGCACGGTAAACTTGCCGCAAGCATACTGAAAGCTTCAAATGTTCTACCTGACCGAAAGCTTGCATAGTAAACTTGCAGAAAGATTGCAGTGTAAGGTTACTGCAAGATCGCATAATAAGAATTTCGCAAAATTGTTCTGTAAACTTTCATCGTAAGCTTGTAGCAAGGTTGGTGCAAGGTTGCCAAATAACCTTGCTTTGAACCAAAAAAAAAATTTGTTTTTAATGTTTCGTCTAATTTATATAATAAAACTCACGGTGCGTCAGAAGGTGGTTTAAATAAAAATGAATTAGCACTTAAAAATTCTTTTTGATTATGATTCGTAGATGAATAAAAAACATTTCTCAGTAGTTTTTAAAATCAGTTTACGTGCCCGATTTAAATAAAATTGAGTTTTTATATAAAAACAGTGTTTTATGGGGAATAAGAATTTATTTAATCTAATAAATACTGTAATAAATGATAAAATAATTACTTATTTTCAATTTTACATATAAATAATTATATTGCTGTAGTGTTTGTGTCCGATTTTAAAAAATTAAATTACAATGTTAAAAGAACGATTTTAAGAGTGACAAAATTTATTTAAGAGAGTCAAATGATCTCTGAAATTTTTTGGCAAGAAGAGACCTTTAATTATCGCTCTATAAAAACGGCACTAAACGTGAAAATGATAAACATTGATTTTAAAATACTTTCTTCTCGAAAGACGGACACTTTTTACAAAAGCAGCTAGAGATCGTTATCTTATATAAATTTCCTAAATCCGAAAGATTTTGCGAATCCATACAAAAACACGATTGCAAAACGAAAAGTAATATAATGAGGGGTTCATTACCTCTTGCCGCCGTCAGATGGCAGCAGCATGCAGAGCGCACAAAGTCGCAGCTGTTATTAGATTACTTTTCTACTTTCTGTTTTGCAACCATGTTTTTCTATGGATTCGTACAGTCTTTTGGATTTAGGAAATTTATAAGATGAGGATTTTGGCTGATTTTGTTAAAAGTGTTCGTGGTTCGAGAAAAAAGTATTTTAAAATCAATACTATTTCACGTTCAGAGCGATAATTAAAGCTCTCTTCGTGCCAAAGAATTTCAGATACCGTTCGACACTCTTAATGCATAAATATAAAAACGAAACAAGAAAATAACTTCATTGTCAATAAATTTATATGAACCCAAATCTAAAACATCTATTATTTTTTTTTATTCATCTTAAAACCATAATCAAAAAGAATTTTTAAGTGTCAATTCATTTTTATTTAAACCTTCTTCTGGCGCACCGTGAACTATATAAATTAGACGAAACATTCAAAAAAAATTTTTGTGTTTAAAGCAAGATTATTTGCATCCTTGCACCAACCTTGCTACAAGATAACCGTGCAAACTTACTGAGCAATCTTGTGATAATGTTATTGTGCAATCTTGCAGTAACCCTACACTGCAATCTTTCGGTAAGCTTACCATGCAAGATTTCAGTCAGGTGGGACATTTGAAGCTTGCAGTAAGCTTACGGCAAGTTTACCTGTGCAAGGTTGGCAATATTGCACGGCAAGCTTGCCGCAAGTTTGCTACAAGCTTACGTGCTATCTGGGAATAAACTTTGATCGTGACGCTTCTATGAAAACTATTTTTGAATTTACCGAATTAATTAGAAACTATTTTTATCAAGGTAAAACTATCACTAAACATAACCTAAAATTTCTTTACCATAAGGTCCCCTTTCTCAATTTTTTGTTTTTTTTTACACAATTATTTAGCAGCTCTGGCAAAAATGTTTGATGTTGTAGCAAATTTTTTCTAAAAACATATTCGTTAGCAGCTGCAGCCAAAGAAAAGATTTCTTTGATTTAATGAAACGTTTATTTGAATGAAATAAAACATTTCTTTAAAACGAAGATGAACGAAGATAATTTGTTTGAAACAAATAAATTTTTTTTGAATCAAAAAAAATTTTATCAAAGAAATTGATTTCTTTGAATCAAACAAATCCTTTTTGTGTAGCTAATTTATTTTGTACTACTTAAATTTCGGAGTTTTTTTTTTAAATTGGCAATTTTTGAATTTTTAGAAAAGGTGGTGGGAAGGGGGGAGTGTCAAAAAAGCTTTTCCTTCCTTTATAACGATATTAAAATAAATTCAAAACAGGTTCACTACATGTTTATACCGTAATCTATGAAACTGCACCTGTGTACCGAATTTCAGCTGTCTAGGTCAAAAATTGTAGAAGTTATAAGACAGTGGGGAGGGGGGTGATTTTAAATTTGTCTTTGAAAATAACAAATTTGGTTAATTTGCGGTAATTAAAGTTAATCTAACTTTTATTTGAATAAACCAAAAATTTATTATATCGTAAAAAAATGATTTAACATTCCGTGAAAAAAGATTTCTTTGATTCAAAAAAATCAATTTCTTTGACAAATTTTTCTTTAATTCAAAAAAAATTTATATTTGTTTCAAACAAATTATCTTTGATTAAAAAAAAATATCTTCGTTTCAAAGAAATTTGTTATTTAATTCAAATATAAATGTTACTTTGACCCTACATATCAATGTTAGCATTTCTTCAATTTAATACACAAATTTTTTTCATTCAATAAAGAAAATGTTTTTTTTTTTGAATCAAAGAAAATAAGTCAAAGAAACTGGTTTCTTTAAATCAAAGAAATTTTTTTCTTTGGGTGCATTAAAAGTTAATTTCTTTTTTGCTCTCCATGAAGCTGGCGCCGCGACGCTCAGCGTCGAAAATTATTTTTCATGAGACAAAAAATATCAAATCTCATTTTTAAAATGGTTTTGGGTCAAAATAATACTTTGAAAAGTATTTCTCAAAGCATTATTTGGACCAAAATGATTTTTAAAAAATAATTTTACATTTTTTTGGTCCTGTGAAAAACAATTTTTTGGCGCTGAGCGTCGACGCCAACTTCATGGAGGTCTTTTTTGAACATTTTTAAGGTGATCCGTTTTAAGAAATTATTTAACCTTCAATTTTACACCAGTATTATGAAATCCTTTCTCAATCAAAGTTTGCTATATTTATTCTATAATTTACACATGAAAATACAAATAGTTTTCTAGGTCAAATAAGTGGTTGAGAGATCTAGGAGGGGTGGGGGGAGGCACGACTTCGTGGAGCGAACACGCGATTGAAATCATAAGGACTCCGTTTCGGTCACTTTGTGAACAAAACTTCCGCGAGTAACAAATTTTAAGTAAATCTAATCAAATTTTTTAAACATTTAAATTCTATCATATTTGGATTATCGATTTTGCATTTGATTAATCGAACCTCTCTGCGTCAATGATTTTGATGCCATATTGAGTCAGCCATTTTAAAATTTTAGAATTTGGCTAAACATTTTTTTTTTTTGAGCTTGCAATTCTTTTCATTTGCAGAGAATCAATACTACTATTTCAATATGTAAGTCGTTTTAGCCGACTTAAATTCCAAAAAAAATCAATGTTTTTTTAAAATTATAAATCTACAATTAGTTAAAAAAAAATTATTTTAAATAACTAATGTTATTAGATATTAAATGTATTATATTAATTCCTCAATAAGATTACCTAATTCTATAAGAATATTATCAGGAAAATTTATTTGAAATATTTCAGAATCGAAAAGATAAATTTTCAAAATTTTAATATTAGTCAGGACAAATTTCAAAAAAAAAAAATTCTTACATTTCATACTTAAAAATTATTTTAAGTATGATTTCAGTAATTTATTTGAATTTAAAATTTTAGCATAATTTTCAGTTTTAATGGTCATTAAATTATACAGATTTTTAAATTAAATTTTTATAAAATACTTAACTGAATTGCAGAAAATTTTAAATTTGAAATAAATTTTCTGCAAATTTAAACTTTTGTAGTTTTTTTTTTTTAATTTCTGACAACAATTCAATTTTAGAATTTTTATTTGAAACTTTTTTTTAAATAATTGAATTTTTAAAGAAATATTAAAAATATTTGAACTTAGAAGAATTACAGTTAAAATTTTTTTAAATAATTAAATTTCAAAAGATTTTTTGTTAAATTTCAGATATAATAATTAAATTTTACAAAATTGAGAATAATTTATTAAATAATTTTAGAAAATTTTTTTTTTTTTTTATTTGAATTTTCAATGATTTACAATTAATATTTTTGAAAATAGTTGAACTTTAAGTTGATTTTTAATAGAAATTTTTTGTGTGATAATTTCAATAATTAAATTGAGATGAGATCATATTTTTAACATTAATTTTAATAAAAATATAATTGTTATAATTAGGATAATAGAAAAAGTTTAGTTATTTATTTATTTTTTTTTTTTTGTAAACATATTAAATTAATTAAAAAATGAAATTATATTTACTATATTTCTCAGTAGGAAAATAATATATAACTAAATGAAATTTCTATACTATCTAATTAATTTGTAATGTAATAAGTTTTTCATTCTTCTAAATGAGAAAAAAAATAACAGCATGCAATTACTTAATGAAAAATGTGAAGAAAAATATTTTTAATTAAATTCTGTAAGATCAATAAATTTTTTATTCAGCCTAATTGCAATATGATTTTCTCAAAAAGCAAAAATTTTCTAAGTATTATTAATTTATAATAACAATGCAAAAATAATATTACTAATACAAATAATAACAATAATAATTAATTTTATTAAAATTTGATTATTAAATTAATTTTAGAAAATCGTAATAAATTTATTAATTTATTTACATACATTTATTTTTAATTGTCAACATTTATTATTTTATTATTATACTATTATATGTATATAAATGTATATAAATAAATAAATAATTTTCTAGTTTCTATTTATTTACTATTTACTTTTTTATATAAAATTCTGTTTATTATAAAATTATCTATTTTAAATATTGCACAAATTTTTTTTTTTATCTATTTCTCAACTCTTATCTGCCCTTATAAATATTTATGCTATAAATTAAGCAAAAAAAAAACAATTTTTTTTAACAAAATTCAAAAAAACATTTTCATTTTTTTTACATATATGCCTATTTTTTATATATATATTTTTTTATATTTTGTTGAAGAAAATAATATATTTTTTGAATTTATTGATCACTTGTATACATACGATAAATAAATTTTAAATGTTGCATATTTTTTTTTGACGTAGAAATTTAACGTGAAGAGAAAAAAACACTGCGTCATTTCTATAGCAACCGCCTTAGTTACGATTACTGTCTTTTAAATAGAAATGCGAGTATAGAAATGTGTACAATTTTATTTCTAAAACATGAATTTGATATTTAGAATTTAATTATTTTTATTTATTTATTTTTTATTTTTAACAAATTAGTATAATTCATGTGGCTTTTGTTTGTACTTTAAGAGCAAAAATTTCAACAATGACGGATGGACTGACTTTAACAAATAAATTGTCTCATCACGTACGTGACAAGGTAAAAAGTGAAAATTTTTCATTGAATTTTATAAAAACTTCAATTTTAATTATCGTTTTTTAACGAATTTTTTTTTTTTTTTTTTTTTGAAATTTACTAAATTTGGGAAATTAAATTTGAGCAAAAGAAAAAAATACTTTAATAATTACTTCACTAGATCCTGAAATCCAATAATACAAACACATAATAATAGAAAAAAAAATTATATATTAAATGGGAAAATTCATTTTCTCTTAAAATTTAATTTTTTTTTTTGCAAATAAATTTTTCCTTTCTTCCATTGAATTATTTTATAATCACATTTGGTCTATGACAATAGAGGAAAAAATTTAAAAAAAAAAAAAAAGAAAGTCGATTTTAATATTTTAAAGTACACAATGGACAATTTGAAATAAAATCACGAGATATAAAAATTCAATCATTTATTATATACTTTTCTCTTACTTTACGATTAATTTATATTTCTAATTTAAATAAATTTTACGGCTCTTGCTATTGATTCTACTATTATATGAATCATTGAGGTCGGCAGTCCTTTTCTTTTTTTTTCTCAATACACAATGCATTTATGAATTTTTAAAAATGCGGCAAAAGGTGAACACAGAAAAAAAAAAAGTTCTTTGAGTCGACTAAGGAATTTATTAATTTTTAATCAGGAGGAGAAACGTGCACAAGAGCGACGAAGGAATTTACTTTATCTCGTGATTGACTTTCTGCGAGAACAAAGGTATATTAATAATTTCTATTCACTATATAGTAATAGTTATTAATTACTAAATTATTTACAAAGTAAAAATATTTTTATTTCATAAAATAAAATATTTTTACTTTGTAAATAATTTTCTACGAAAGAAATTTTTTTAAAACCGCTTTTCAATGGAATAATTTGAATTGAAAAAAAAAAATTTTTAATTTCATTTTTTCCAAATGAATTTAAAATAATTTTATTTATTCTCAGGTATTCAAACTCTGTACAAACTTTAATAAATGAAGCTCGATTGGCATGTGATGTTCAAGTTTGTGACAATATAGATCTTGAAACAATTTTATTGGAATATTATGATTATTATTTTGCCAAATTTAATAAATATCCAAAAGTTTGTAAAAAAAATGAAACACCAGTAAATCTTGCATCAATATTAAATACGTAAGTTTTATAAAAAAAATTTCAAATTTTATACTTCCGAATAATAAAAAAAAAAAATATTTTAAAATTAAAAGCAAATCATTAAAAATTCGAAAATTTTATATGAGAAAAGAAAGTGAAAAGAAAAGAAAAAGAAAATTCTAGTAAATAACAAATTTGTATTTGGAATTATTTTTCAACCATTTTTCAAATTCGATATCAGCTTCGAGAAAAAATTTAGAATTATTTAAAAATTTCATAACTTTTTTTTTTAAAAACACTATTATAAAAAAAGCTCCAAATAAAATTTTCAATATTCCATAAAGAATGTTTATCACTTTAAAAAAAATGTCAATTAAAATTTTTTTTTTCCTTTCTATCGATATATAATATGTCTTTTCATTTATCCATCAATATATAATAATTTCAAAGATATTCTAAAAATGTTTGCTCAATATTAAATAAAAAAAATAAAATATGAAATTCTCTAAGCGGCAAAAAGGATAAAACAAATAAAAATATTAAAAAAGTCGATGACGAAAATGATGTGACAAAAGTAAAAATATCCAAGGAAACAAATTATTCAAATCATGAAACTAATTTGGAAATAACAGTGACGCCAATTAGTGCAATTTCTCAGGATGTAAATCAACAGGGACAACAAAATAAAAACTTTAATCGAGAAGAAGTTAAGGAGAAGATTCTTAAGCCGATTAAAGATTTATATCCAATTGGATCCGATTGGAACGAGATTGCAGAAATTATTTCTAAAGTATTCGAAAAAAAAAAATTAATTATGATACTAATTACAATATTTTAAAGTAATTTTTTTCTATATATGATTTATAATTTATTATTAATTTATTACTAATAAATTACTAATAAATTCCTAATAAATTACTAATACTAATTTTCTAATAAAGATTATTATTACTTAAATTATAATTTAAGTATTTATTCTGTATATTTTTTTAACGAAAAAAATTATCAGGAATTTAAAAATTAATTCGTATAAATTTTTTTTTTGAAAATTTTTATCAATAGGGTCAGAATTTCTCAAACGGATCAAAATTTTCAAAAAGTAAATAATTTTCAATGTTAATTCATGTTTTTCTACTTCTACTGTGATAAAAATAATGTTTTTGAAAATATTAGATGAAAAAAAATTTTTGTTTATTAAAATTATTAACAATTAAAATTTTTAGCTGTTTTAAATTTCAAAAAAAAATTTTCTCAAGATTCAGTTGTCAAAATTATCAAAAAAAAAAAAAAAAAAAAAAATGTTTTTCTCGTTTTGGAACGTAGTAATAATTTTTGTAATTTAAAAATGTTGTACCTATTTCAAATAGTTTTTTAAATTATTTATTTACAGAATGTTAATAAAAAAAATGTGTTCTTCATGTCCTATTTAAAATTTAAAAATTGTTCTATATTTTGTATAAAAATTTTATTATTTATTTATTTTATCGATTTTATATTTCTACATTTTATGAAAATATTTTTTATACATTTCTGATTATAAAACAGTTGAGAAAAAAATTTATTTAATAATTATTTACTTAAATAATAACAATTATTACTATTTGTTATAAATAATAATTAATTTAATAATTAATTATTATAATTATAATTATAAATAATAATAATAATAATAATAATAATAATAAATAATAATTATAAGGAGACAGAAAGTATTTTTTAAATTGGTTAATTGGATCTTAAAAAAAAATTGTATTTTTTGGTAGCTAAAAATTTCAATTTTAATTGCAACTTTAATTAACAAAAAAATTTGTTGGTTTAATATTTTCAGAAACTTATTTTAATCGCAGTAGGAGTGAAAAATCTATTTAACAATCGAAAATTAAATTTATTTTTAGATAATAATCTGTTTGAGAAATTGTGACCATATAATTATTTTTTTTTCAAGTAATTTGTTTTTCCTTATTTTTCCAACCCGTGTGGAAAAGTGATGTGGGCCCCCAGCGGGGGCCCTTATGGATCGCCCTCATGCCATGAGGGCCGCATATGGATGATCCATAGGGGCCCCTCATGGAAACGACATGCTCATCGATGAGGGCGCCCGCATGGGCGATCCATGAGGGTGCCCCTACGGGCGCCCTTATGGGCCCTCACGTTTGCCCTCATCTTGCCCTCAAGTTTGCCATAATGTTTTTTAATCAATAATATTAATAATAAAAGTTAATTAATAATAAATAAGCTTAAGTTATGAATAAATAACATATTTATTTAATAATTATTCAATTTTAAATTAAATTCTTACTCAAATTCAATTTATTAATTAACGTTCTAATTAATTAACTGTCGGATATAATTAAAAGTAATAATAAATTAATTAATTAAAAAATTAAAAAATATTTAATTTATGCATACTATTAACGGATATTTTCATTTTTCAATTAATTCATACATAGAATTAATGATTAAACGCAAACCTGAGAAATAAATAAATCTAACGCATGGGGGGAATCGAACCTACGACCTACGGACTATGAGTCTAACGCTTTACCAACTACGCTACGTACGCTACTTCAAAACGAATGCTAACTTCTTGATGCTATTTAAACTTCAAAAATACCTAACAAAGAAAAGTGCTTAACATCATTTAGTTAAAGTTAAGATATTAAATTATATTTTCCAATCAAATGCAATTTATAAAATATAATTAATTATATGCTTTATGATTATTATCATGAATCATCTCAGGCGAATTTTCAAAAAAGTGTAAATATATTTTTATTAAAAACGCGTTTTTCGTTGTTTTAAATCATTGGAAACATTCATTTTTTGTTGATAAAAAAATATTTGATTTTTGGACTTAGAAAATTTTGCTAATCGATCATGAGGGCGATCCATGCGGGCCCCTACGGTGGCCCTCATCTATTTTGCCATAAGTGTGAGTGTTATTTTCAAAAAAGTGTAAATATATTTTTATTAAAAACGCGTTTTTCGTGGTTCTGAATCATTATAAACATTAATTTTTTGGTGATAAAAAAATATTTGATTTTTGGACTTAGAAAATTTTGCTAATCGATCATGAGGGCGATCCATGCGGGGCCCCTACGGTGCCCCTCATGGATTCGCCATATGGATCAGCCCTCATGGGCCCCCGCCGGGGGCCCCGAACTCTTGAGGGCAAGATCGTGGCTTTTTCCACACGGGAAATGATGAATTTAAATTAATATAGATATAATTTTAGGAAATTGTCTTAACAAATTTAAATGTTCACTGGAATGACGTTAAAGGTTTAGATGAATGTAAAACACAATTGAAAGAAGCTACTATTTATCCCTTAAAGTATCCTACACTATTTTGTGGAAATGTTACTCCATGGAAGGGAATTTTACTTTACGGACCACCAGGAACAGGTAAAATAAAATTAGATAAATTAAATTAAATTAAATAAATTAGGTAAATAAATAAATAAATTTATTTATTAATTAAATTAAAAGTAGTGGGAAAATATAAAAAAAAAATAGTAAGTAAATTAATTAATTAGTAAATTATTAATATTTATATTTGAGAAAATATGATCTTTTAGGAAAAACTATGCTTGCAAAGGCTGTCGCTACAGAATGCGAAGCGACCTTCTTTAATGTGACATCAAGTTCAATAGTTAGCAAGTGGAGAGGAGAAACAGAAAAATATATACGCGTAAGTGATTCTCTCATAAAATTTAACGGAGCGCATGAACATTTCCTAAATTCTATTATATTTTCTAGAATATGATAGAAATTCATATTTAAAATCGAATTTACATTTAACCAATTTATCATATTTAAACCAATTTTTATTTTATCGCGACATTGAATTTTTTTTAATTATATTTTTCTAATTTATTTAATCGAATTTGCATTTAAATAGGAATATTATTTATTTATTTATTGAAAAATATACGAGTAAAGCCGTATATTATATTTTCATATATATATTTTTTTTTGCTCCAAATTTTTTTGAGCATTGTCTTCATTGTGAAGAATATTTTTTTATAAGAATTTAACTTGTGTCCGATTTTGGTAGAAGCGAAAAAATTTTTTCTTAAAAAATAACAAAAAAAAGTTTAGCTTTTTTTTAAAAAAAAAAGAAAAAAAATTAATATTACCAGGTACTTTTGGATCTCGCGAAACACTATGCACCGTCAATTATTTTCATCGATGAAATTGATTGGACGGCAATTTGCAATGATGATTCCTCAGCATCAAAATCCGAGCCAAGTCGAAGATTTCGAGCAGAATTACTTGCCAGACTTGATGGTTTATTAACTATGGAAAATGCAAATATATTATTATTGGCAGCAACAAATATACCATGGTATCAAAAAAATTTGATAATTAAATTTATTTTTTTCATTTTCCAATTTTTAATAGATTCTACTAATAAAAAATTGTAAATTTTCGGCAGGGTTTTGGATGCTGCTCTATTGCGAAGATTAGAAAAACACATTCACGTTGGTCTTCCCAATGAAGAAACACGAAAGGAAATTTTAAAAACTTACGTCTCCAAAGATATACAAAAATTAGGGGAATTTTCAAATTTAATAAATCAAACGGAAGGTTATTCATGCGCTGATATTAAATTATTATGTAAAGAAGCTTTTATGAAACAATTACGACCAATTTGGAAATATTTAGAAAGTAATAATATCATTAAAAATAAAATAGTGTGCGACAATTTTATAAATAATATAAATTATCTCAAAGAATCGATGAGAATTATAAAACCAATTTCAATAAAAAATGAAGATAAATATAAAAAATGGAATAGAAGATGTAATCACAATGAAGAAACAGATGAAAGTGATTTTGAATAAAATATTATTTAAATATTAATTATTAAATATTATTTAGTCACAGCTAATGAGAAAAAAATGCAGTTTTCTTTTTTTTCGTTAAAAATATTTATTTTATATAAGTAAAATCATTATTTCATATTACAAAATTCTATGAAAACAAAAAGAATACTTTATTTTTTCCGCTTTTCTTGTGAGTTTTTTGCTTGTTGCAAACCATGATAATATCCTGCAAATAAAATAATAAATTATTTTTACATTACAATTTCACACATTAAAATCAATCAAATCAAATCAAATCAAACCATTTTAATTTAAATAAATTAAAATTTTGATAATAACTTAACGATTGAATTGAAATTTAGATTAATTAAAATTTGAATAAAAAATTATTTTTTTTTAAATAAATTAAATTGATGGTTGATTTGAATTAAAAGAAATTTAAATTTAGATCGATTACAATTTTAAGCAATAAATTCTTGTATTAGTTTAAATTAGGATTTATTCAAATTTGGCATAAACAATTTTTAAATAGATAAAAAAAATTTTTATAAATTGATGCTTGGGTCAATTGAATCATTGATAAGGGTCAATCCATTTTTATTTCGCCTAAGGTCGTAGGCGACCTATTTTTAGAAAAATCTCACAATTTCTAATAATCATTTTTGATATCCGTACAACTTATTTTTCACTTTAATACAATTTTTTAAATTTGTCTCGGAATTTCAAATTTAAATATGAGTTTCACGTAAAAAATTAACTAAAAAAAAAACAAACAAAAAAAAAACAGAAATATCTTCAAGATTATTAAATAAAATATTTTATTTAATAATAATAATCTATTTAGTTTAGATAATTATTTTTCTTATTTTATAATTATTTCATAAATATTGTACAATATTTATAATGTATTATTTCATATGTAAAAATATTATCTTACCCGTATGGAAACCACTAATATACCAAGACATTAACATACTAGAAAGTGCGTCTGCATCATTTTGTGGTAGCCTGTAAAATATTTAAAAATCAATTTTTTATAATTTAAAAAAGTAATAGAATCGAAAATTTTAATTTATGAAAAAATGTATGAAAAAATTGTGGAAAATAAAATTCAATTAACCTGCTCATAAGATGAGGTGGCAGTGGTGGTGCAGGAGGTGCCGTGGGAAGATTAAAATCAGTCAATCGATCGTATGGAGTAAATTTTTTTGATGACGATGATGATTTATTTTCAGTATAATCACAGTCCATTTTATCACCGAGAATTCCATTTAAATTTCGTAAATTTGTAAAATTTTTTGATGTTTCAGAAGCAGTTGAAGTACTTTGTTGTTCATTATCGTCATTTTCTTGCATTGACGCTTTCTGCTGGGCAATTTGATTTTGAAGTCCCTCTGATTCTAACAGTCGAGAGAATTCTATTTCTTCTGTATTATTATAGCCTGAAATAAAAAAAATAAATAAACTAATGAACTTAAACTTTATAATATTAAAGAAGTTTTTTCATTCCTCTTTACCTATGAATCGAACAGTGCAGGTGGCAGAATTTTCATGCATTTTTGTAATTATCGCTTCGTACAATTCTCCATCTTCGGAATAAACAGCTCGACATGGACAACCAACACACCATTTCTAAATAAAGGAAAAATATTTAGTTATTAAAAATTTTTTCTGTAAAGTTGAGAAAATAAATTCTATTTTTATACAAAGGAAAAAGTACAAAAAAAATTAATTATTCATTATTGACGAAGTTAAAGTACGCAATGTTTATGATAAACGACTATTAAAGAAATAATTTTTTAAAATGAAAAATTTTATAATTTTTCGTCTAAAAAATATTTCTTGTAGTTTTCATTATTAATCAACAAAATATAAAAAAATATTATTAGGCAAAAAATTATAGAATTTTTAATTTTTTTTTTTTTAGTATATATTCTTTAGATTCTATTATTATTAATTATTTTTATAATATTCTTTGAAAATTCAATTATTTTAAAGCATTTTTCAATGAAAAACAATTGAAATTCAATTATTGTCAATAATTTCTAACAAGTTCTTCAGCGACAGAAGTCTCCAAAAATTTCAATTAAACATAAAACAAAGTTCAATTATTTTAAAAAATCTGAATTGTAAATCTTCAAAAATTCAATTATTTATAAAAAAAAGGTTATTTAAAATTATTTGAAAAATTATTTTCAATTCTGTAAATTTTCAATTATTTATCAAATTTTTAACTAAAATTCATTTCTAAATTAATAATTTTCAATAATTTTAATGAAATTCTCTACACATTCAATTATATCTTAAACTATTTTTTAATTAAAAATTTATATGAAATTCAATAACTGTTAAAAATTAAAAAAAAAAATTAGCAAATAAAATTACTGAAAAAATTTCAATTTAAAATCACTTCAAAATCGATTATTTTCAAAAATTTCAATTTAAAATCCTCTAAAATTTAATTATTATCTGAATTTTAAAAAAATCTTTGATTTTAAATTATTTTTAATAATTTTAACTATAACTCTTTCGAAATTCGATTATTTTTAAATAATTTTTATAATATTCTTCAAAAATTCAATTATCTGAAATATTGTTGAATTAAAAACTTTTGAAATTCAATTTTTTTCTGTAATTTCTAATGAATTCTTCAGCAACAGAAATTATCAAAAATTTCACTTCAACATCACTTTAATTCAAGTATTTTCCAAAATTGGAATTGTAAATCTTTGAAAATTCAATTACTTTTAAAATAATAATTTCATCTAAAATTAATTGATAAATTATTTTTAATTCAGTAAAAATTTAATTAGTTGTTGAAATTTTTATAAAATCTTTTGAAATTCAATTATTTCTAAACAATTCAACTGTACTTCTTTCCAAGATTTAATTATTTTTAATAATTTTAATATGTCTTTAAAAATTCTATTATTTAAATTAATTTAAAAAAAAAACTCTAAAATTTGAAATTGTGTCAGAAATTTATTAAAATTTCTATTAATCTATTAAAATTTTAAAATATTTATTAATTAATTAAATTTAATATAATTAAAAAAAGGGAATGGCTAAAGATCCGGCTAGCCGGAGCTCTAACATGGCTAAAGTTCCGGCTAGCCGGATCTTTAATCTGTGAAACTATAGTTCCGGCTAATACTGTCAGCCGTAAATCCGGCTAGCTGGATCTTTAATTTGTGAAACTATAGTTCCGGCTAATACTGTCAGCCGTAGGAATCCGGCTATTGTCCCATAAAATGTTAATAAAATTACAAGTACATAAAAGAAATAATTTTAATCACTATTTTAATTAATTTATGAACAGTTAATTAATAGCGCGAAATTTGAAATTAAAAGAGTCTTATTTAAATTTTCTTAACATTTTTATAATACTATTTATAAATAGTATATTTATTATATTATCAGGAAAAAATAAATGAATTTTTTAAATAAAAAATCAGATAATTTTGCAAATGCCTTTATTTTAACTTTAGTAGTTAAAACTTTTGAATCGTAAAATTACACTACTTTACAACATATAAACATTCCAAACGATAGTCTTGAGTTTAAATATACTTTAAAAAATTGTCATTTTTATTTAAACTTTCGTTAAAAAAGTTAAAATCTTTGGTAAGAGTATCATTACACTTTTTTCTTTATACATATACATATTAACAATATAGACATTTCCATAATTTAGTATTTTTTTTAGAGTTATAATTAACACATTTTGTGTGATACCACTCTAAACATTAGTCACAATTTACTGAGGGTTCTTCATCTTTTATTTTTTTTTACATATTAGACAGGTCCACGTAATTTTGGATTCTCTTTTTTGTTTTTCAATTTGCTTAATTATGATCCACGCATCTTCTGAAAAAAATTTAGATATTCTGTCCAGCTTTACATCTTCGTGGATTATTTTATGTGATACATTGTCTGGTATTATCTCCACATCTTTTTCTTCAATGATATATTTTTTATTTATAGCAGCATCTGCGATTTCTGGACTAACAAAGCACGATAAAATTATAAAATATTTATTTATATCGGATTTTTTTGCAAAACATTGATGCATAATAGAAGACTTGGACTTTATATTTTTTTTTTTTGGTAATCCGATGGCATTTATTTTTTTTGTTCCTTTTGGTCGGCCTCTAGGCTTAAAAGTTGGTGGAATTCTAATATTTTCCAGACTAATCTTGTTACAATTTTCATCAACATTGCAGTCTGGAATAACACCATCTGGTACAGGTTCAAACGTATCTAAAAAGATCCAATTATCTTCAGATACTTGATCCAAGACTTGATTTTTTCTATTTTGAATATCTTTGGCCAAAATTTTTTTTCCAGTGGCATTAAATACTTTATTTTGTATTTCGCGAGTGGGAACCTTGAATTTTAACATAACATCGACATCATTTATACATTCTAAGTCCACCACTGGATCCAATCGTCTCCCATATGTGGTATGAGAATGTAAAAACTGAAACATTAATGAAATCATATAATTATTGAAGTATAACAATAAAAATTCTATATAACAGCCCACGCATCGATTTTAAAAAAATTTCTATTAAGAACATTTTCAGAATTAGTGAAGAAAAATTTTTTGGAAGTTTTAAATTTAAAAGTTATTTAAGTTCTTTGGTTTTAAAAATTTGTTTGAATTAAAATTATTTTATTAAAAATTTTAGGTAAATATTAAACAAAAAATTAAACAAAAACTTTCAAATATTTTATTTAAAAAATCAATTTTTCTGAGGCCTATTATTTTTTAAAAACAATTAAATTTTCAAATGTATTGAAAAAAGATAATTATTGAATTCTTTGACATTATTTTATAATTTAGGGACAATTTGTGCAAAATATTAATTTAATAATTTATTTAATAATTTAAAAATTTAAATGTAAATTTTAATTTAATTTCTATTTAAATTTTAATTTAATTTTTAAAATGCATTTCTTAAATGATTTGAAAATTACCTTTGTCACAGGATGATTATGTGTGTAGTTAACCTTAAAATAAGATTAAACAATTCCCTTCCTCATTCGCCACCAAATTAAAAAAAGCTGGACAGGATTCTTTCGAAGTTCTGTAAATTATTTTTATTAAAATAATTAAAATAATTATTATAATATTTTAAATAATTAAAATAATTAAAATAACAATTATTATTAAAATAAATAATAGTTTGAAAAACAAGAGTTTATTTGCAAAGCAATTACCTGTACGAATTGGAAAAAAAAATTCTGAAAACTTACGTAGAATCTCGCACGCCTTTTCCTCTTGTTTTAAATTTTTTCCCTCCCTTAAAACAAGAGTATTTTATTCTATAATATTTTAAAGTCGGATTGATTTCCTTTTTTATTTCCTTCTTTTTACAACCATTGACAGTAATACTGTCACGAACAAAAAAGGAAGTACATGTAAATTTTTGGAATTCATCCAATTTTTCTTTAAATTCATCAAATGATGAAAAAGAATCACCAATTTTCAAAATTGCTTCATCCTTTATTTCAGTTTCAGTGTCTAAAAGGAGAAAATCATTTTATTTTATAAATAAAAAAATTCATCAAAAAAATTTTTTTTAATAAATTGGTGATTTTTCTGAACGTAAATTAGGAAAATATTTTATCACACTTTTATCATTATTTAAGAATTAAATTATTTACTAAAACTGAATAATATTTTGGAGAAAAATTTTAAACGCGTTAATTTTTATCTTGTATATATTATATTATAGTTTGTATTTAAAAATTCACCAGGAGAATCACCTTCACAATTGTTTTGATGAATGTTATAATATACTTGAAGTTCTGACCGTTAAAAATAACGTAAAAATTTATTTACTACTTTTTAACTTCAAATTTTATTATAAAATATTGCTTTCTGTATTTAAAAATAAATTAATCATTTATTATATGTTTAATATCTTTTTATATTTTTCATTACTATAATAATTTTCAAAAAAATTTTAGATTAAAAAAATTATTTAGTTAATTTGAACGTTCAGAATTTAAGGAACATAAATTATACGTTAATAAAATAATCGTAATGAAACATAGATAAATAAACATTTTAAATATTACTTACTATCAATTTCCTCAGTTTCTGCACCAGACATTTTAAATATAATTATATTATATTTTGTAACACAAAAAATACACTGTCTATCACCTTGCCGGTCGAAAATAGAAAAACACACAAACATACCTAAATTTGTTTTAAAACTTTTTGATTTGAAATTGTCGACTATTATCGATAGTCGTATGTGACATAATTGATTGATTAACGCCCGCTCAATTTCAAACTCACAAAAGCATTTTACTTACACTATCAATTTCCTGAAATAGAATATGTATCAAAAAAATTTTTAATAATAGAAAGTTACATTTCAATTATCTGAATAAAAATATAAAAATAATAATTTAAAATATTTATTTAATATTATTATTTGTTACTATTTTAGTACGCGTATTTAAAATTTATAAATTATATACTTTTATATAAGTGTAATTAAAAATATTTCACACGAAATTAATAATTTAACATATTTTAAATATTATACCTATATTTGTATTAAATAAATAATTGTAAGTTAATATCTTTTTATTTATTAAGACAGTAGCCGGACCCCTATTCAGAGTTGCTACGGTTCCGGCTGACAGTACTGACATAGCCGGATCATTAGCTTCCTCTACTATAGTTCCGGCTAACCGGACCTTTAGCCATTCCCTTAAAAAAAATCGTCTTTTTTATATTTAATTCGACTAAAAAGAATTTTTTGACGAAGCAAAAGTACGCGACGTTTATGATAAACGATTTTTAAAGAAATAATTTTCAAAATGAAAAATTCTATAATTTTTCGCCTAAAAAATATTTATTGTAGTTTTCATTAATCAACAAATTGTAAAAAAATTTTTTTTAGGCAAAAAATTATAGAATTTTTCATTTTAAAAAATTATTTCTTTTAAAAATCGTTTATCATAAACGTTGCGTACTTCAGCGTTGTCATTATTGTTGAAAACAAAAATTGACTTACTCTTTGATTTTTGCGAGATTGACGATTTTCTTTTGGAGTTGTTGATTTTTTCGATTTTTCAGGTGTTAACTCTTGAATTCCCATTTGTTTTGCCACTTCCTCTTTAGCTAAATTAATAGCCTTATCGTATGCTTTTATTAATGCAGAATCATCCCATACATCTTCTTGATCTTCATCACTCATTGACTAACAAAATTTTTTTTTTTTTTTTCAATACTATCACTATTTTCTTCTATTTTTAAGTAATTTTTATTTTTTACTAAATATTCTATATATACAAAGGACTTCGATCCTCTAAAATCCGAAATAAATAAAAAAAAAACGGCACATTTATTTTTCCAAATTCCGAAATTAAAAAATTTTTAATTGCAAAATTTAAATTTTTTTCTTTAAAAAAAAAATATTCTCTTCGGAAATAAAATTCCAATACTTAGAAAAATTAAAGTAGAAGGAAAAATAAATTAATTTTTATATTTCTTTTTATTGTCAGTTCATAAAATGCAACGTTTCGATGACTAAGTTCGTCATAATTTAATTTAATTATTTATTAAATGTTTACTTTTAATGGTAAAACTTATAAAAAAAATGTTGTTTCTTGAAATAAATATAGCAGATCAATTCATTTTCAAGGTTATGTTCGTAACTTTCAATTTGAAAACAATTGAAATTGAATTAAAAATTAACTCACTTAAAAATTAACAACACTTGACAGAATAATTTTCAATGAAAAATAATTGTTAAATATTAATTTCTAATTAAAAAAGAAAATAAACTCAAATAAACTTACTTTACTGTTTCCCCTGACGAACAAAACATTGACATCTTCCATTGTGAGATTTGTATGTAAAAATTTATTTTAAACAATAATAATAATAAACATTTTTCGTTTACAATTAATAAATTATGTTGTAGAAATTGATTCCTTTATAAATAACTATAATATGTATATATAAATAAAGGAAATTATTTGATGTTTGTTGACATTTTCTTTTAACCTCCATACATGTCAGGGTTGGATAGTTGAGTAATGTAGCGTGTAAATACTGATAATATTTTACGTAGACATACCGTACTACTTACGTTAGGTTACGAAGATTACCACAGTTTTACAAAATTTACCCATTTAACGATCAAAATTTTATACAGGGTGGAGAATGTACAAATATATATTTATTTAGATAAAAATAATTCCAAAGAAATAAATTTAATTTATTAAATTATTTAAAATACTCCTATAAAAGTATAATGTTAGTTAGAAAGCAGTTTTTTTTTAAAAGAGTGTAAATAATGAACTTAATCAGTATTTTGTTTCAATAACATTAATCAAAAATTTTGAGGTTACAATTAATGAAAAATTTTTTTTTTTAATATCGTGACTTGCAGCTAATAATTTTGTGAATAAAATGGAGAAAATGAAACTATCTGCACTATGGTTATTTACACTTTTTGGAATACCTGTTATGTTTCCTTGGTTCTTGTATTATTTATATACCGTTATGATGTTTAAGAAAAGAAAATCTTCTCTCAGAGGCAAGGTATTTTTCTCTTTATTTTCTATAGTTACTTATAATTTAGGCTCATAAACGTTTTTTAATGATCTTTTCTAGTTTTTACTATATATACAGTTCCATTTTTAAAATAATAGTTTTATAAATTATGAATTCGTATAAATTAAAATATACAAAAGTGTATTTATATTTTAAATTCGAGACTATTTTGCAAAATTACAATTTTTTTTTTTACTTTATTAGGTAGTAATGATAACAGGAGCAAGTTCTGGTTTAGGAGAAGCATTAGCTCATGTTTATTACAGTTGTGGTTGTCGTTTAATTTTAATTTCAAGAAGAAAAGAAGAATTGCAACGAGTAAAGGATACATTAATGAATTTACACTATGTGAGTTTTAAATTTAATAATAACAATGAATTTACTATTGGAAAAATTTTATTATTCAGAATCAATGGATTCTGAGATTTGGACTTTAATCTCATAAATGAAACTCGAGAATATTAATAATTTATACATAAAATTTATTAAAATAATAATTAAAATAATATTAAAACTGAATTGAAAATATAATTATAAAAATAATATTATTAATTACAGGAGTAATATTATTAACTTAAAATAATTATTAATTACATTACAGTAAAAGCTTTGGATCGACTTTAAGGCGCAAAAAATAACGAAGCTGAAGTACGCAACGTTTATGATAAACGATTTTTAAAAGAAATAATTTTCTAAAATGAAAAATTCTATAATTATTTGCCTAAAAAAAAATTTTTTTTTACAATTTGTTGAAGCGTACTTCAGCTTCGTCAAAAAATTCTTTTTAGTCGAATGAAATTAAAAAAAAGACGATTTTTTAAAATATTAAATTTAATTAATTAATAAATATTTTAAAATTTTAATAGATTAATAGAAATTTTAATAAATTTCTGACACAATTTCAAATTTTAGAGTTTTTTTTTTAAATTAATTTAAATAATAGAATTTTTAAAGACATATTAAAATTATTAAAAATAATTAAATCTTGGAAAGAAGTACAGTTGAATTGTTTAGAAATAATTGAATTTCAAAAGATTTTATAAAAATTTCAACAACTAATTAAATTTTTACTGAATTAAAAATAATTTATCAATTAATTTTAGATGAAATTATTATTTTAAAAGTAATTGAATTTTCAAAGATTTACAATTCCAATTTTGGAAAATACTTGAATTAAAGTGATGTTGAAGTGAAATTTTTGATAATTTCTGTTGCTGAAGAATTCATTAGAAATTACAGAAAAAAATTGAATTTCAAAAGTTTTTAATTCAACAATATTTCAGATAATTGAATTTTTGAAGAATATTATAAAAATTATTTTAAAATAATCGAATTTCGAAAGAGTTATAGTTAAAATTATTAAAAATAATTTAAAATCAAAGATTTTTTTAAAATTCAGATAATAATTAAATTTTAGAGGATATAAATTGAAATTTTTGAAAATAATCGATTTTGAAGTGATTTTAAATTGAAATTTTTTCAGTAATTTTATTTGCTAATTTTTTTTTTTAATTTTTAACAGTTATTGAATTTCATATAAATTTTTAATTAAAAAATAGTTTAAGATAATTGAATGTGTAGAGAATTTCATTAAAATTATTGAAAATTATTAATTTAGAAATGAATTTTAGTTAAAAATTTGATAAATAATTGAAAATTTACAGAATTGAAAATAATTTTTCAAATAATTTTAAATAACCTTTTTTTATAAATAATTGAATTTTTGAAGATTTACAATTCAGATTTTTTAAAATAATTGAACTTTGTTTGATGTTTAATTGAAATTTTTGGTGATTTCTGTCGCTGAAGAACTTGTTAGAAATTATTGACAAAAATTGAATTTCAAATGTTTTTCATTGAAAAATGCTTTTAAATAATTGAATTTTCAAAGAATATTATAAAAATAATTAATAATAATAGAATCTAAAGAATATATATACTAAAAAAACATATTTTGTTTAAAAAAAAAAAATTTGTAAAAAATATTAAAAAAAAGTAAAATGAGTTGAAAAAAAGTCGTATATTTTAAATTAAATAAAAAATTATTTCAGACTGTTCCAACACATCCACCGGTGATACTTCCGTTTGATTTAACAGAAATAAATTCATTAAATTCGGAAGTTGATAAAGTTATAAAAATCCATGGTACAGTTGATATTTTAATAAATAATGCTGGCATTTCATACAGAGGCGAGGTAGAAAATACAAATGTCGATGTCTACATTAAAGTGATGCTTATAAATTATTTTGCACAAGTTGCAATAACCAAAGGTTTCTATTTTTATCACCATTAACATTTTTTCTCTAAAACGAAGCTAAAGTACGCAACGTTTATGATAAACGATTTTTAAAGAAATAATTTTTTAAAATGAAATTTTATAATTTTTGGCCTAAAAAATATTGTTTTATAATTTGTTGATTAATGAAAACTACAAGAAATATTTTTCAGGCGAAAAATTATAGAATTTTTCATTTTAAAAAATTATTTCTTTAAAAACAGTTTATCATAAACGTTGTGAACTTTTGTTTCGTTCTCTAAATTAAAAATTCTAATTTTTGTTTATTAATTAATTTTTTTTTATAAGCCGTACTGCCAACAATGGTACAACAAAAATCAGGTCACATAATTTGTATAAGTAGTATTCAAGGAAAAATAGCTCTACCTGGCAGGTAATAATAAAATAGAATTTACAAATATGTTATTTTTTTTTTTAATTTAATTTAAATCTATTTATTGATTGTTTATAATATGCAATTTTTAAAAAATTCTATTTGGTGAAATATTTTTATAACAGATCGGCCTATGCAGCTTCAAAACATGCTTTACAAGCTTGGAGTGATTGTTTACGATCAGAAATTGCCGATAAAAATATTCAAGTTACTGTAATTAGTCCAGGACATATTCAAACTGCACTTTCTCTCAATGCTTTGACCGAGAGTGGTAAAAAATATGGAGGTGGGTATTTCTAATTTGTCGAAATAAAAAATTTTACAAAATATTTGAAAAAAAAATTGGTTTATAAAAAAATATGAAATTTTCACGAAGAATCTAATTCGGAAGAAGAAAAGTTCATCCAAAAGAATATTTTTGAGGTTTAAATGTAAATAAAAGAACATTTTTATTTTCGTTACCTACTATTAAAATTTTTTTTTTGTAGTAATGGATGAAGCAACAGAAAAAGGATTTTCAGCAAAATATGTAGCCGAGGAAGTACTGAAATCAATGTTAATTGGTAGCAAGGATGTGGCAATATCTCCACCTTCTCCAAAATTTGCGATATTAATTCGCACACTTTGCCCTTCGTTTTATTTTTGGATTATGAAAATAAGGGCTAGAAAATCTAAGGCTAGTTCATCAAAAACGAAATAAGTCGTTACGATTATTTTTGTATATATTATGTTGTTTTTTTTTTGTTTTGTTATTTCGGTGAATAATAAAATAGAAAATTTTTCATTTGATTAATTTCATAAAATATATATTAATATTTCATAATTATATTTACCTTTTTAGATCATTCTCTTAGAATTCATTTTATTTAAAATCATTGCAATTTTCAGAATTCTTTCTAATTTTTGGTAGTAATTAAGCATGTAATTAATTAACAATTAAATATTCTTTACAATAATTTTTTGCCTTTATAAAATCTTTATTAATTTCTTTATATTTATTTATTTATTTGTTCATATTTTATCTATTATCTTTCTATTTATCTTTTTATTTATTATAATTTTTAAATATTCTTATTAAAATATTATGTAGTTTCAATTTATTTTCGTATATATAATTAATTGTCTAGTGTTTTAGTGAAAAAAAAATATTTTTTGTTACCTTTAATCTTAAAGATTGGGAAATTTTTCATGATTGATTTTTATTCAATTAAAAATTTGAGAATTTTATATAATTTTTTTTTGTAATTTTAATTACGTTTTATAGAAATAAAATTTTTGAAAAGAAAGTTGGATTATAAATTTAATCTACATGAGAAAAAAAGAAAAGTAATTTTTAACCATTTTTAGAATAATTATTTTTCAGACTTTTTATATATACAAGAACATTAATTTAGCAGAATTCTCATTCTATCGAATTTTATGTGACTTGAATTTTTAAACGTCAGAAATTTCAATTCATTGAATTTTTAATTTGTCCGAATTTTTAAAAATTTGACCAATCACAATTTCGTTGATAATTTCTAATTCGTCAATTTAAAAATTGCGCTCAAAATTTTTTTCTGTAATTGGTAATTTCGGATAAATGAAAATTCAGCGTCTTAAAAATTCTATAAATTAAAAATTCGTACAAATTAAAATTCGCTGAATTAGAATTTTTGGCATTTAAAAATTTGAATCACATAAAATTCGATTGAATGAAAATTCTGTTAAATTAAAATTCTCTTAAATAAAAAGTCATGTAAATTAAATGCCTAGAAAATAAAAGTTTGGTAGCTAATTGTTAAATAAAAATTTCGTATAAAAAGAAATTTTGTGAAATGCTAATTCAAAAAATGAAAATTCGTCTAAAAAAATAATAATTTCTAATAAAATTCTTTAAATTAAAAATTCTAATAAATGATTTTTTATGGGATAATCATACAAAAAAAAAACATATTATTATAAAATTCAAACTAAAAATAAATTAATTTAAAATATTTTCTTGTATAGAATTTTACTGAATAATATTCAAATAGGGAAGAATTAGAAAAAAAAAATTATTTTATCTTATTCCAATATTGGCGTATACCATTCCGTTAGTGTTGCGTTATTTATAAAAATTTGTTAAATCTTTTTTTTTTTTGACTATTTAAAACTATACTTTATTTCTGTAATCTGACATTTTTATTGATACAGGTAATGGAACATGTTTACACTATTTACAGCTTATGTATACTATCATAAGCGATTGAAATTCACGTCAGTAATGGTCAGTGCATCTTTTGCAGTTTTTTTTTTTTTTTTTTTTTTTTTTTTTTAACAGAAACATCGCGGAGAATTAAATATACAAATGCACTCATTTTCAATCCGTTAATTTTTTTTTTCAATAATTTGAATTTACACTTATTTCACATTATTTACAATAGAAATGCATATAATAAAATGTTCATTGCCTGTGTGAGTGTATGATGGAAATAAAAAAAAAATTTTTTAAGGAATCACTAAATGCAAAAGAAATGCAAAATATAATAATATAGAGAAAAAGATTGAAATAACTATCACATTATTTACACGAAGGCTTCATCGTATATAGGAAATTCTTTAACATTTTTCAAAGAGATTTTTCAATATTATAGAAAAATTTATTCTCACCTCTCATTGATTTAATGCAAAAAAAAAAGAATCATAAATTTATTTTTGAGAAATATAGAAATTTAAATAGATTATCGATGTTTGAAAAAAAAATAACTTCTCTGGAGGGTCCATTACAGAAATAAATTGATATAATATGTATATAAAAAAAAGTAAGCTACATTTACAATCTTTAACAAATTGTTAACTAGTTACAGCCGTTGCTTTTAAGCATCGCAGAACCGACAAAGTTTTTTTTTTATATAATATAGTAAACACTATTTAAATATAAAGAAAAAAATTGGAAATCTTTGTCGATACTGATTGTTCACTGATGTCAAGTATATATATTTATATATATATATATATTTTTTTTAAGATTTTCAAGTCTTAATCTTGAAATTTATATTCGATTTTGCGTCAATAATCTCAACGTGTGTTGAGAAAAAAAAAATTGAAATTGTTTTTCTTAAAACATGACTTTGCATTATTATGTCAAAAACTTTCGTGTGTTTTTTTCTTTTTAACAGTAGGACTTGCTTTTACAAGAACTAGGAAGAATACAATATTTTTCTTTTCTCAAACATTTAGAAAAAAATGTCTTTTAATATCATAAATACAAATTTTTTTTTTATCACTTTAGTTGTATATTTTAAAAACTAAACTAATAAAAATTTAAGTTTGGAATGAAAAAAAACAAAACTAAAACAATAAAAATCGTTTGTTTTTTTTATAAAAAGTAAAAAAAAGCATTTTTCTATTTTTTGAGATTAAAAATCAGTGAAAAATAATGCACTATTACTAGAAGTAATATCTCGATGGATTTCAAGCCTACCGATTTGTTTTTTTTTAAAAGGAATTGTATTTTTCCTAATTCAAAAACAAATACACTATTTTCTATGTCTTTCTACGATCATACGCGAAATTTAATAATTACGCCCTACCGTTGTTTAGTTTTTTTTTTTTGTTTTTTTTTTTTTGCTTGTCTCTGTGTATAAAAAGCCCACAATTTTTGTAGGGGAATTTCTTCTTTTTTTTTTTTTCATTTGAACGCTTGATAAATTCGCCACGCAGTGACGCTAAATGCCATTAATGTAATTGTATTGTGAAGAATTCGTCTTCTTCTGTCATCTTTTCTAACAAGAAATGTAGGTGACGATGGTCCTAACATGGCAAGTACTTCAACGTGTGGCAATTTACTTGTATCAGTTTCAACTTGATATTGACAGCATGGATCAAACTGCCAAGAAACTGTATAAAGTCCACATGTTATAATTGATGTAAAACCAAGTGGGCCACAAAGATAGAGTTTATCTCCCCAAACGAGGCCTAAAAATTAGAGAGAAAAAAATTATGTTTATTAAAAAATACATTCGTTAATAATAAACGTCTATAAACTAATTATAAATATTATTTTTTTTTTTGAAAGGATCAATATTAATGGAAATAGGTTTTCATTTCCGATTTTCAAGTTATCTATGTTTTTATAGATGTAAATATACATTTTGACCCCTGTAAATAGTTTTTAAAAATTGTATTTTTTTTTAGAAAGTCTGACGAATTATTATTTTTAAATTCTACAGAAATTCACAGACTTTAAACTAAATTTTTCAAAATAAAAAAATTATTTTTCTACAGTTTTTAAAATTTTAGTGGTAATCTTTCTAAAATTCGTACAATTTTTATTGTTTTAAATCAAAATAAATATTCGAACAATATCCAAAAAAACATAGTAATGCTAGATTTCTCTACAATATTTCTAAATTGAAATTTCTGTATTTTTCAATGAATTCGCAGACTTCGAATAATTTTAAATAATTGAATTTTTTAAAAAATATTTAAAAAAATATTAAAAATAATTAAAAATAATTAAATTTTAAAAGAGTTACAGTTAAATTTTCTAGAATTAACTGAACTTCAAAAGATTTTGTTAAATTTCAGACAATAATTAAATTTTGTATAATTAAAAATAATTTATCAAATAATTGCAGATAAAATTTATTTAAAAGTAATTTAATTTTTCAAGATTTACAATTCTCATCTTTGAAATATAATTGAAGTTCAAGTGATTTTTAATTAAAATTTTTTTGCTTATTTCTGTTGTTGAGGAATTTATTAAAAATTATAGACAAAAATTGAATTTCAAAAGTTTTTAATTGAAAAATGCGTTAGATTATTAAATTTTTTGAAAAATACTATAAAAATCATTTTAAATAATTAAATTTTGAATAGAGTTAAAGTTGAAAATTTTAGAAATAATTGAATTTCAAAAGATTTTGTTAATTTTCAGATAAGAATTAAATTTTACAGAATTGAAAATAATTTAACAAATAATTTTACATAATCTTTTTTGGAAATAATTAAATTTTAGAAAATTTACAATTCAGATTTTTGAAAATAATTGAACTTTAAATGATTTTAAATTGAAATTTTTTTGCGATTTTTGTTGCTAAAGAATTTATTAGAAATTACAGATAAGAATTTGAATTTTAAAAGTTTTTAATTGATAAATGCTTTTAGATAATTGAATTTTCGAAGAATATTAGGTGTAAAAATCATTAAAAATAATTGAATTTTAAGAGTTGTAATTTAAATGATAAAATTTCAAAAAATTTTTGGTAATAAATAAATATTAGAAGGTTTTAAATTAAAAATTTTTGAAAATAATTGAATTTCAAGTTGATTTTCACTTGAAATTTTTGTGTATTATTGACTTTTAGAACATTTTTAATTTAAAAAATAAAATAATTGAATTGAAAATAATTAATTTAGAAAAGAATTTTAGTTAAAAATTTGTTAAATAATTGAAATGAAAAAAAGATTTGATGAAAATCTACATTGAATACTATAAAATAGACGTATTTTGTTGAAAATTTTTGTTAAAAATGTAAAAAAAGTCGTAAATTTGCATCATATTAAAATAAATAAAAAAAAGAGTTGTATTTTCGAAAAAAAAAATCAGAAAAAGTTATAATTCGAGGCCTGAATTCGCGGCAATTTTTATGGATTTTTTTTTTGCAAATTCTTTATTTTTCTTTAATTTTTAAAAATTTCAATTAAAACGATTGTAGTAAAATGAAAATTTGTCATTAATAATAATAATAATAATAATAATAATTTTTTTTTTAAACCTGTAATTATTGCAGCTGCACCAGACAATGCAGCCGTTTTATGTAAACAATTTCCAACGGTTATCCATCTTGAAGTTTCATCTCCTAATTTAGATGGTTCTATTACAATTAAACTACATTCTGACTCCAATGCTCTTTCCAATTCATATTCAAAAGTTTCATTAGCATTTTCACTGTCGTAAATCTCTCTAATAATGGCAACATTTCCATCTCTAAAAAAGAAAATTTTACAATATTAAACATTTCAATTATTATTAAGTAAAATAAATCATAATTCATAGAATAAAAAATTAAAAAAACAATTCATTGCATTAGGACTATAAATAATAAAAATGAAATTTTTTTTTAAATTAAAAAAACAAGAATATTGCTTACAAAATGACTTTCGATTTTCTTCCAAATCTGAATTTGGTTGCCAAAATTTATTTCCGTTATATTTCTTTTTTTTTGTGACGGAAATTTTTTTTTTTCTCTTGATAATAGGACTTGCATTATTTTATAGAGATTATAAAGCACTTGATTGCATCAAAGGATCACGGGTCAGAACAAAGATTTCTGTCACGATTTATTTCACTTTAATATTGCGTGTGTTATGTAAGACCATTGAAACTAGTGCATTTGAATTGTGTTTAATTTTCTAAAGAATTTCTAATTCTGACAATAAACATTTAATATTTAAGACGATAAAAAAAAATGTAATTATTTAAATATTTTCATTGTTCAAAGAAGCAGACAATATTTATAAAATTATTGCGGTATATAGTTACAACTATAACCAAACTTTTGTTATTAAACAATTAGCATAGAAAATTATTCAAATAAATATCAAGAATTTATAGTTAATTTAACAAGAATTAATATTTTAATAGAATTAATCAAATATATAGTAAAAAAAAAAGGCGAGCAAGGATCAAAACCTGGATGCTGGAAACATTGACAAGTTTGTGCAAAAATTTTTGAGGTTAGTTTTTCATCTGACTGTAAAAACAATCATAGACGAATGAAAAGAAAAAAAATTTATTGCTTTTTCTAAATGATGAATTATTTTAATTATTACGAACCTGTCACCAGCTTCATCAACCACTGGAACTACCATCTTTTCCATAGAATTTTTACAAAAATACTGAAACGGTGAACTTGAGAACCGGAAAAAACAGTTGAACGGTTCATGGTAACAAAACGGATGTCAGCTGACGATTGTTAGTTGTGTTCTTGACTTTAGTAATAGTATTAAAAATGCGCGCGCGGTTTATTCTTGCGCTTTGAAAAAAAATTATTTTTTTTTTCTTTCACATGAACAATAAAATAATATTCAAGAAAGAAAAATGCTATGTCATTTGTGGTACGTTTAATCTTTACAAATATACAATGTTTTTTTTGCTTTTTTTTATTATCTTTTAATATCTTTAATATGTTATCTTTATTTTTATTATCATTATTTATTTTTAACTTTTATAATTTTTTTTTAATGATCTATTTAAAATTCAATTCCTGAAATTGAAATTATTATTTTTTAATTCTGTCATTTTAAATAAAAAACATTTTTTTTTATATTATTATTGTTACTATATTCTTATTATTATTATTATTTTTGTTATTATTATTATTATTTTATTATTATTATTATTATTATTATTACTATTATCAAAAACTTTTCTTCAGTTAAAAAATCAAGAAAATAAAAATTTAAACTTAAAAAGTTAATAAATAAAATTGTAAATTAAAATTTAAAAAATATTTTTTTATATAATTTAGTTTTTTTGAATTTGGAAAAGTATTTTTTTTTTAATTCCTTTACTTAATAGTCTTTTGTAAACATTAATAACAGTTTTTTAATTAATTTATTCAACTAATTTATGTAAGTAATTAATTTAATAGAATAATAAATGAATTTAAATAAAAATTTAATTATTAATATTAAAAATAAATAAGCGTCAAGTATTCAAATTCACCGCCACTTCCATTAGTATAAACTTTCACCGAGAGATGGTGCGTCAGCGTCGAAAAAGCGGGGACTTCACTTTGGTCTATGCTGCATTCAATCTCAAGTTTTGATTCAGTTCGCGTTCTGCGGTCATGCGAATGAGTTGAGCGTTGTTTCTTTTTTTTTTAATTGTTTTGTTTTTGTTTGAGGGAGAATTGGAATTAAATTACGACAGTTCCAATACACAGATGGATGCGTGCAAGAGCGTTCTGTCATGGAGTATCAAAACGTAAATAAATTAAAGAATCCTCGGACAAATAATGTGCCGGGTTATGATTCAAAAAATGAGGACGGATAATAGCTGCGTGTAAATTTAATACTGTTTTATAGTGGTTGTCTCGTGTTTGTAGTGACTGGTTCTGTGTGATTGTGACAGGAGATGGTAAAACTCGCCACGTCTTTCACACAAGAGGACGTTTTTTGTTTTTTTATTTCTCCACTTAAATTTTTAGTAGTGTGTATTTTACACTTTTGTGCTCAATAGAGAAAAAATTAGAGGTTAACTGTATAAAATTGTATATATGAATTTTTGAGGTTATGACAAGTGTTTTCATCTATTTACAATTTGGAACACATGGTTAAAACATGTGAAAGGGTTTTGGTTCAAGTGTGAAATATATTGTCACAGTGGAAAGTGAAGTGTATAAGTGTAAGTGTATTTTACTGGGAATGAAGGAAAATTGAAAAGTGAACGCAATGACAATTATTGAGATTCTCGCGAGTTCGACGGCACTGGAGTTGAGAGCCTCTTGGAGGTAAATGAGAAAATCGAGTCTCTGGACCTATATATATATATGTATAGAGATCAGAAGAAAATAAAGTACGGACTATAAGGCAAAAGAGGACTAAAATTACGTGAAACCGATCGAAGTATCCGGCGAACTCCAAGAGAGAAACCCTCGTATCGAGGTTACCTCGTACTTCAAGGTCGAAGTACCGTAAACGTCTCACGTGCCAGTTGGAAATAAACAACAACGAAACGAACGACAACGACGAACCCTTTCGTGTTGCTTGGATTTTCTCGCGATATCGGCGAAGACATATATATATATATATATATACACCCAGGGAATCTTCAAAAGGGGGAGGAATTCGCTAAAGAAATCGAAGTGAAAGAGTGGTGCAGGGTGGAAAAAGGGAGAAGAGTGACGACCGGTCAGGGCTAGTGAGCGATGCCGGTTCGCTAAGGGCCTTTTTTTTTTCTTGGTTTATTATTGTTGTTGTTATTTTATTTTTGTGACCTCGCACCGAGATGTCAGGAGGTTCCGCGTGTGGTGGTGCTCGGGGCACTGGCGCCGAGTGCAGGAAGTTCGCGCCAAACATATTCAACAAGAGCAAGTGCAGCAGCTGCTTCAAACAGAAAGAGGAGCACAGTGCTGAGGCTCTGGAATGCAACAGGGTGAGTTTTGTTGATGGACTCTAAATTGTATATATATATATACCGGCTCTGACTCAACGCAGCATCTTTTTTTTTTCTCTCTCTCTCTCTCTTTCTATTTTTTTTTCTCTCTAACACCAATACTTGTCAACCATCAAATTCCATTGCTAACTAGGATTGAGACCCTTTTCAAAAAAAAAAAAAAACTTAATATAGATTTAAATGGAATAGAACCGTGTCAGGTTTCTTGTTGTTGTTGATGTTATGCCTGCGAGAGTTTTTGTATTGTTATTCTCTCTCTCTCTCCATAAAACTGAGTCTCACTCTTGATTCTTGACCTCTGACAATCATAAATTTCCCTGGATTTTTGTGGGTCCCACTCGATCTCTCTTTCTATTCTTGAAAGCCATTAAATTAGTCAAGTCCTTTTTTTTGTTACAATTGTTCAGATTTCTAGTTTACGATTTAAAGATCAAGTTTTCCGAGTAAACCTGTTTTTTTTTTTTTTTTTTTTTTTTAAAGAGAATTTTTAGAGTGGAAGTGATAATTAATGCTATTTCTACTTAATTTTACATAAGTTACTTTTTTTTAACTGCATGAAGAAAAAGTGTTGTTGTATTAACAATTTTGGTATTATCATTGGTGGATTTGTTTTTAACACAATTCTGGTTGTTGGTATTATACAAATGTGATTGTAGTCAGTACAAAAGTATTTTTGGTTTATCGCTTGGTATTTAAGCTATACGATTTTTTTTTCTTTTATTGCTTTAACGCATGTAAATAAAAAATTTTATAATAAGGTGTTTTTCCTAAATACACAAAGTGACCCAAATGGGCACGAAACATTCAACAATTAACTTGGAGCAAATCGCATACAATTCGAATTGTTCCATCAGCAATTGCTAGGGTCGTTAGTGAAGGTTCGTTGTTATAGATAACAAATATTATCGAAGCATAATTAAAGATTCATTAGAAAATATTATAGAGATATCACCTCCATTAACTTGGCGTCGAAAATTATTTTTCACGAGACGAACAATATCAAATTATTTTTGAAAAATGTTTTGGGTCTACATAATACGTTGAAAAGTATTTTTCATGGTATCCCAATAACACGAAATATTCCATTCACATTCCGGAAATATTCCAGGAATATTAAAATGTCCGACCTTCGGAATATTCCATTGGAATATTTGGAGAATATTCCGTTGGAATGTTGGAGGAATATTCCGTTGGATTGTTGGAGGAATATTCTATCAGAATATTGAAGGAATATTTAATGGAAACATTGTACGAATTTTTTTTTTAATAATGAAAAATCAAACTTTTATTACTGATTTTATAATGTTTTCTACCTACAACTTATGAAATTTTTTAATTTTGTCTTCATTGAAATAAAATACTTTCAGTATTTTAATAAATTAATTCTGAAAAATAAATTTTGAAACAATAAAAAAATTGTTTTTAAATAAAAAATTTACAAATAATTGATTAACTTTTGATAAGTTTAAAATGCGTATTCCGAAAAAAATATTCGTATAATGTTTCAATTAAATATTCCCTCAATATTATGATGCAATATTCCTATGACGCTGAAGTTACCAACATTGATTCGACGAATCAACGAACGAATTTTTCGTTTTCAGATTAGTTTAAAGGACAAGAACCAATTTTTTTTAAATTGAAACTTCTTTATTTTTGTCCCAAATACATCCTTAAACACTAAAAATCCTCTCATATTCCAATGAAATACTCCTTCAATATTTTAATGAAACATTCCATAAATATTCCAATAGAATATTCCCTAAATATTTCAGTGGTATATTCCGAAGGTCGGACATTTTAATATTCCTGGAATATGGATGGAATATTTCCGGAATATTCCGTGTTATAGGGGATATTATTTGGACTGAAAATCCTTAAAAGACATAGTTTGATATTTTTGGTCCTTTGAAAAAAAAATTTTCAGCTCTGCGTCAACGCCAACTTCATGGAGAAAAAAGATTAAGAATTTATGATAACTACCATGTGAATTCGAAGAAAAAGTAAATTTTCCTTTAATAAGATGAAATCTTTATAAATGTTTTAAAATATTGTGACTATTTTAAACGACGTTGAGATGACATAAAAAAAGGTGCTCGTAAAGCCCGTGACGCCAGTAGTAAAAACGGATTGAAATCAATTTTATGACTTGAAACGTAGGTGGGTTACTATATTAATAAATGGATAAGTATTAAACTAAAAAAAGATCTTATCCAATTGCATTTCCTCTTTAAATTTTTGGAATTTTTTTTTTTTTAGTAATTTACAATTTTATAGAGAAATTATTACTTTTTTCGTAAAAAAAAGAAACGAAGTATATTTAAAAAGTTGAATAATTTTTTAATTTTGATCAAATGAATAATATCTTTTTGAATACAGTAGAGAAAAATGCGATTCGTTTAAAAATCTTTGCACGCACTTTTTTTCAGAAAAAAAACTGCATTCTTTATTTTTTTATAAATACTATTCTCTCCTTCTTTTTGATGTTTTTGTGTGTATACTCGCAATCACACTCTCGGCGTAATCTTTTTGAGATTTAATTTTGTGACTATACTATTTATACTTTGAACTTGTTTGCCCTCTGTTAGCTCGTGCTTCTTGCGAATTTTGGAATGTCAGCAGCCTTGCGACCTGTCCCGGTGCATTCCAATCGCCCTCTTTCTTTTTTCTCTTTTGATCTCTCTTTCTTCTCTTCTTTCTCTTGCTCACTTCCTCACAAGAGGAAGAAAAGAAAAAAAAAAATAAGTTGCTTCGTCGTCTTTTACGATTTCGTATCTTCTATATCGTTTTCTGTTCTTTAAATAATTTTTTCTTTTTATATTAATCCTCTTTCCCCCTTTTTTTTGTAAATGTCACCTACTTGTTTAATTTTTTTTCTCTTTCTTTACCTACAATGATTTTTTTCCACAATTTTATATCGAAAAATTTTAAAAATATTCTTTATTAAAAAAAAATTGCAATCACGGAAAAAGAAATTTACCTGGAACAGCGCGAAACGTTTTACTATATAGTAGCAAAAGTTTTACTTGTTTCAGTTAAATCTTTTTTTGGATCAGTAATTTTTAATTTTTGACTTATATGTAAGAATAGAAGGGGGAATAAAATGCTATTACCAAGAAAAGTATTTTGAAGGTTAAAAAAAATTGTTAATGCGAATTCCGATTTAGTGAATTATTTTTCGTGTATTATATTATATACTAATATACCTCAACGTGAGTTACACGTTACATGCCGTAAAAGTCTGTTTCTCTCTGGCGCGCGTGTACTCATCTTCCTTTGATCACTCATGAACCTTAGGTCGTTCACCCGCGATTAAATCCTCCTTGGATGTCAACAAAACGTCTGAAATTCCTCTTTTTATATATTGAACTTTAAATGGTTTTTAATTGATATATTTATTAGCTATATTCAACTATATATGACGTATCAATTTTTTTATTTGTGCGTTTTTTAAATTAATAAAGGTATTTTGTAAATTAAAATTAGGGAAAATAAATTTCGTATATTCAATTTTTTTTCATTCAAATTTAATTCTATATTTTCGTGCCTCGTAGATGGCGCCAAGTTCGTTTTTTGATTCGTTTCAGACCGAAGGAACTGAATTGCAATAAGGAAAAAGTTATTTCAAATATATATTTTTTTTTTTTGACGATTTAATCTGTTTTCTAGGTGTGTGTGAAAATACGTGGAATTTTCACCAAGTTATTATTCTCATATAATATGTCGAAAGAAATGTGTTTAAAGACGTGATATATAAATATTGATATAAAAAAAGAGTAACATTGCCGCTTGCGGTCACGAAAACCGCTGTATATACTTCATCAATGCAGATTTATCACCCAACGAATTCGAACATAAAGAATCAGATCCCTCTTTTATATTTATACCCAATATCGAATATCAGCGGTGCTCAATATATTGGTACATTTTAATACCTATAGAAAAAAATACCAATTCTCACTAAATATATTGAGTTCCACTGCGTGATGTATAAAATTCAAGCACTTTAGGAAGACACTAAAAGTGGCCAAACATTTATTTGGTTTTCGGTTTTTATATGCGTGACCGTAACGGGAATCAAGATCGAATCTTATGGCACACTAGAAGTATTTACTCAATATTAGAAATTTTTTTTTGTTTTTCTTTTTTTTTAAAGGAACGTTATGCATAAAAAAATGCTTATTTGATAAAAATTTCTGATTATATATATATACATATATATATATACAAATACGTGGGTGCCAGAGAATGCGAGCAACCGCGGAAAAATGTCAATGGGTGCGGTATATCGCTTTGCCTATAATATTTTATTCTATTACCTACATATAATGTCGTACCAATAGATTATTGTTTTTATTGGAAAATAACTTTTAATTTCATATTACTTTACTATTAAATTAACAAAGTATTTATTAATCGCATTGATTTTCCACTCTCAATTTAGATATAAAAATAATTCAATACGTTTCAGGTCATAAAGTTGGTAGACGGTGAAGAAAGAATATATGCGATTCAAATAAATAATAATCGGTTACTTGGTTATTATTAAATAAATATATTGTAGCATATAATTTTTATCGATATAGAAAATAATTATTCGAATCAGGAATTTTTGTATATTTGAATCAAATAATCCTATATTCAAATAATAATAATTTGCTACTGATAAATATTTCATCCCTCAAATACACTCTAAATCTGAATCAGTGAAATTTTAACTGATTTCAAATCAGTGGACGAGTTTTCTTTAATTCATCAGTGGAATTTCACTGAGAATCAGTAAAAACCACTGATTGTCAGTGAAATTCCACTGATGAATTAAGGAAAACTCGTCCACTGATTTGAAATCAGTGAAAATTTCACTGATTCAGATTTAGAGTGGAAGGCCTCGATTCTCATCCAATAACTCCGGAACGATTTTGATTATTATTTTCTATTAAATAGGGATTTACACAATTCAAGGATTAAAATTTGTTAAC